CTTTCATACAGATATTTCAACAATGAAGCTCATGGCTAGTGCCTTATATAAAGGTCATACAATCAGACCTCAGTTACAAGTCATTATGAAATAGTATTCCATATAAAATGGATTACCGTTCTCTGATTAATCCGGAATTCTATAATTCCATTTCAAGAAAAATTTCAGTCATGCAATCATTAAAGTATTTGACAATTGTCACTTTTTAGTTTGGGGTTTTTACAGAACTACTCACTTATGACCATGCTAGTAATCGAACCCAAAACCCTTGAGTTGCGTAGTTAGTACTTGCGTTAAATTAGTTAATGTTATGTGCGGAAAGAGTAGATTCCAATTCGATTGTAGACTACTCAGAAAAAGTTGCAAAGTTGAATAAGAAGAAGTAGGAATGACAACAAAGAATTCATGAGTACAGTAATAAAATCGAAAAAAAAAAATGTTCTTTTGGATTATTATAACAGTTGTAACTAACAAATCATGTAAATTAAACAGTTGAATGTGAGATTTGAACTATTCAAAGCGAGTTAGACGGTTCTGGGGTGGAGATAAACGCAAGTGAAATTGTGATTAGAGTTCATAATATGTAGATGACGGAAGCAAGTCGAAATTATCTTTTTAGACGTATGCAAGGCTTCCTCTTGTTGATTCCGATGGCTCGATCTTTTAGACCTTGAATTAATTTTTTCATTTTTAACATGAAGTAGAGAAAAGTTCTTCATTTTTTATTGGATATTTACGATAAATCAATAGTGTGTGGCAATATGTATAGGTTGAATTAGAATGAAAATACTAGTATCAACACTGCTTGATTTCAGTACGTAGTACGAGGAACATGATCAAATGTTTCCACTTCAGTCAAAGTGATAATCGATGCATGCATTTCATCCGCTAGGGACAGGACTTCTTTTCTTCGTAATATCTTTTTCCATGAGGCTGATTCTAAAAAATATGCATTTACGTTTTTGATGGAAAGTATTCAGTTCCAGCTTAGAACCAGCAAGAAAATTTATTTTTATCAGTAGGTTGATTTCTATTACTAATAATTGATAACTTACAACAAATCCTATTATCACTGAAATAAATGAATACATCCTAAACCGACATATATCTTTGAAACTGGCTGATTTCACACATGGAACATTTGGATCTCGATCAATTTTGAACTAAACCTGTAGAATAAGTGGATATAACTAGCAGTTGATTCGAGGACTCTCTTTTTCATCAGCTGGGTGTACTTGTATCCCAGAATTATTCTTAACTGAAGGCGACCAGCTCTGTCTGCCCAATGCGCTATCCACTAAGCTATTGAGTTTAGTTTAATCATTTGTTTTCAGTAAATGGGCATTACATGTTAACTTCCATATTGTCGCAAGGTGTATAAAATAGGCGAAATAAACATACTGTTCACAAAATATTAAACTTTGTTTGTCAATCGATATCTTCCTGGTTAAATTGCAATTATATTTGCACTGAAAATCGTTTGCGTTTTTCATTTTATACAGGGTAGACCAGGTGTTGATGGTGAGACGGGAGCAAGTGGGTTGGCAGGTCCCAAAGGATTACCTGGTCTGCCGGGATTACCGGGTTTACCTGGTCACAGAGGTCATAAAGGAGAAATTGGACCAAATGGCATTAAAGGAGATGTTGGACTGAGAGGGCCACCTGGTCCTTATGGACGAGATGGTGAAGTAGGTCCTCCTGGAGAGCCTGGTTCAGTTGGACTTCAGGTGAGTGTTCATAAATGGTCTGATGTCTTATGACCATAACAAACTTTAAGAGGTTTTGGTTTTTAATGTAGACATGTTAAATGCAAATAACTGTTTACTGATTTTTGAATACGATAACTGATTGAGCATGTGATTGTCAAAAGCATTAATTCATTTCTATTGATTAACTTGTCGTCAGTTAATTGAATAATCCTACCAATATTCCTGTTTGGTTGCCTATCTATCTGTTTAGCTGTTAAGTATATCCCATTACTATTGTTATCATTAAGACTTGATACACACTGATTAACAGACACTCTGAACTGATTGAATTCATTTGAATGCAATGCAAATTAAACAGGTCTAATATAGCCCTGGATTTATTTCACTACAATACAACTGCTGGATATTCTGTTGCCAATATTATTTCTATTCTAATTCAATTGCTTGTGATTCTTAATGACTCTGTATCTATTCATATAAAACAGGTCTCATTCTAATGTTATTTCAGTAATAATTTGATTTCAGCCTAGCTGTCTACTCAATTTTATTACACTTCGATTGTCTGTTATTATTGTGTAGGCTAATTAACTCAGTTACTGAAAGTACATATTTATGAACATTTGTATTGTAATTACTACTTAATTCATCACTCCTCGATCATCGAGCACAAAGATAACAAATCTAACAGAGAATTATGAAGAATCTTATTTTCGGAACTTAAGTCGACTCTAATGTTAATCTTTTCGAAATTTCTTCTTAATTCCTATTTTACCCTCTCATCCAGTAAAGATGAGGATTTAATTGACTTGAAGAATTTCTTCATACTTAACTTAATAACATCTTGTTTGAACAGTAAAGCTTATGGAATACTATAACGTTTCATTAAAAGTAGAAAAACCGAAATCGTTCATTAAATATGCTCTGTCAAAAAGTACATAAGTAATCCTTTCAAAACTAATTACAACTATTTCTAATACTGTTTCACTTGCCATAAGAACAATAGACTATCAACATATGTGTAGTCTGCATCGCAACCTTATTTAACTCGTCACTTCAGAAAATTAGGGGACAATTACCGATACATTGAAGTAAGAACTTCCAGTCTGTCGCAACATGATGACCTATCAATCAAGCAGTAATTGAAGTTTATCTGATAATTATTATTTTCTTACAATTTGGATTTAAAGTCAAAGCCAGTTCCAGTTTGAAGTTCTCCTTCAAACTTAGGGAGGTTTCAATTTTACGTAAAATGGTACTAATAAATGATTTAAACTACATTTAACAAGCTACTTTTCGCATATATCTATTCTTTAGGGTCCTACGGGACCAGTTGGAACAGCTGGTTTACGAGGATTACCCGGACGAATTGGACCAAACGGACTTAAAGGTGAATTTGGGGACTCAGGTGAAATGGGTCCACCTGGTCCTCAAGGTCCTGTAGGTCCACCGGGAGTACCTGGACCTCAAGGTATACGTGGGCTAACTGGAAAGCCTGGAGCAAGAGGACCACCTGGTGTAACTGGACTACCAGGTAGCCCTGGAATGACTGGAAATCCTGGACCACAGGTATGTGTTCATAGATTTTAAGCGATGTCAAATGAAGGCTCTTCAACAATTCATTGTCGTTTATTTTCAAGTATGTATATCAGTATAGATTAGAGAGAATGAAAAACATATGATGGAAGACTATTTAAGTTAGAACTTTTTATTTCTGCTGTTTTCCTTGTTATGATAGGTCGGTAATAATAAAATACATATCCTACTTCACTACACACATGTTCTGTTAATACACCGTAAGATTAAAATGTCCAATATATTTGAGACATATAAATGTCAGACATTCATGGAAGCAGGTAAATTGGACTAATGAATTTAGAAATTGAATAAATACAGACAGTAGAGGCTACAAAGCTTTCTCAATGAATAATCGGTAACTTAGTCATCACATGTGGTGAATTACAGAGAATCATATATACTGATGATGCTAATGACCATATATATCATATGGTCATATACTGACCATCACTATATGGCATACTTTTCGGACTAGTCCGAAATTCTCTAGATGATCTACAATGATATCACCAATCGAATCAGACAAAATGGGAAATCTCATCATAAACATGATATCCTGAATCAGACTATCCAAAATTCAGTCTTCAAAATAGCGCATAAATTGAACAATCACAAATTTTTTATCCTGTTTGGTTAATTACATTGAATGTAAGGATGTTCGCTTACCTACGTTCTCCTATATTCTACTCAAAATTGCACATTGTTTTCAACAATTTCACCTGTTTATAAATATCTCACTCAATATGATAACACACAATAATCTTCAAATACATAAAGCTTGAGATCATGGTTCAACCTATTAATCAAAGACTTAGCTTGCCACCACAACACCATACCGAATATCCCCATCCCAAAAAAATATAAAGCCAAATAAAAACTTGTTCATTTAATCTGGTAATTTTGTTTGGATTATCCTGTGCTACTGATATTTTGACTCAATTTTGATTAGTCTAAGTCTGTTTCACAGCATATTTAATTATTCATAAATATGGGAGTCATCTCAACCACTAAATTGGTGGGCCCGACAATGAACATAAGGCAGCCCACTAAAGTAGCTTATCAACAGTCTGTCTGTAAAAGAGTAGATGAAAAACGTTTTTCCTTTGAAGTTAACTTAGAATTTAATGAAAATTCCCATATTGTGAACTAGAGCTATATATATATATATATATATATATATATATATATATATATATATATATATATATATATATATTCGGTTAGATATTCACCAGGCCTTGCTGTAATATACAAAAATATTTATATGCAAATATGAACTTGCTTTGATCGATCTAATAATTTCTAGTATGCATATAAATATTACTACATATTACCGTAAATCCTACTGAAGATCTAAAGAAAACAATATTGCTAGCTTATATATATTATTCTCAACCTTAAATTGCTAGTAAACCATGTTCATTCATATAAGTTGACTGTGCAAGCAGATTTAATTAATTTGATTATTTTTTTAAATGAAATATTATGTCATAGCAAACTTTGTTTTTTAAAGGGGAATGGAGGTCCAAAAGGCGAGCCGGGATTAACTGGAGAACCTGGAGATACTGGACCTGTTGGAGCTTCAGGATATAAAGGTGATCGTGGACCTCGTGGTTCACCTGGAGTTAAAGGAACTCAGGGAGCAGCTGGTTTAACTGGTGTTCGTGGGGACAGAGGTGAAAAAGGTTCGAAAGGTGAACGTGGTCTTCCTGGACCACGTGGCAGTGAAGGTCCAGTTGGAATTAAGGGTGAACCAGGCATAATAGGTGAACTCGGTCCTCGCGGATTGGAAGGCCAGAAAGTAAATGATTATTGTTAACTGTAACACTATTTTAAAAAATTAACTTCATTGGACAAACAGACGAGTTCACTTATATGAGAATACATTTGTTCTGTTCTCAGTCACGTGCAATGCGTGGACTGCGCTTATTTTATAAGATATTTTGCTGACGTTATTTCGGTAAGCTACACCAAATGTTTGTATCATACTCTTTATGTGGTTGAAGAAATTCATTAAAAATCCGTGGGGTAGGTTGTATGCTAGTTAGTAATCATCAATACTATATTTAAAGAACTGACATTTCCTAAGAGAATTAAGTTCGCATCAATCAGCGTTTTGACCAAAAAGGTGGTCATTGTACTGATTAAGCTGAAATAAATTCTGTAGTACTAATGATTAGGCATTAATACGTGCTTTTACTACTTACTCAATTTACCTGTCAATCTGTGTATTGCAATTAGTCAGCATGTTTGGAGATTTTAGGGAAGAATTTTTATTGACAGTTTCGTTGTTTTCAGAATTCTCAGCTTACATTTCTGTAATTAAATGGGAAAGTTTACTGAGTGATCTATTCAAAATACTAGCAGCCTACTTGAATATCTGAGCTACTTGTTTACTAACATCAAAATATTTTGGACAAGTTACCTTATTTGACTTTTGCACGTCAATTATTTCTGTTAATCACATAATCCATTCGGGAGCATTTATGAAAAGCTTACGAGCTATTGCTTCACAAGGCTTAAAAAAACGTATAATTCCAGGTATCTCAATAGCTTGTAATTTGCTGTTGAAATAATGAATTTTTAAAAAATCTCGTTTTTTGAATTGCTTACTTTCAACTGCCTATTCCAAATTGTTTTGTAAAGGAAACTTGGTGAAATATTCAGTGCTAAGAATTTCATAACGTACGAAACATATAACACTGAACAAAGTTATTGTTCTTATCATTTTAGGTAAACTTATCAATATTTGGTTCTTATCACTACATTGAAAATATCTGTGTTAATTGACAGAATTCATATAGTTTGTTTTCCTAATAGCCGTGCGAAATTCAAACTACCATTGTTGACAATTTTGTGGAAACAAAATATTTAATTTATTTAAAATTACCTGCTATTTTGATTTTCCTATCTTATTAGGGGAACGAAGGTCCTCGGGGAAGTCCAGGGTACCCTGGAGGCCCAGGTCCCAAGGGGTCTGTTGGGCCCGTAGGTGCAATTGGTAGTCCGGGAGAAAAAGGCAACCCAGGTCATGTAGGATCGTTAGGTTTGAGCGGACCTGTTGGGCCGCGCGGAGCACCTGGTCCACGTGGTGCCCCGGGTCAATCTGGACCAGTCGGATTCAAGGGCGACGAAGGACCAACAGGACCAACAGGGCCTCCTGGAGCTGCTGGTCCTCAAGGTCCGAGGGGTCCTCCTGGATTTGTGGGGGTTCCAGGTCCTCCGGTAAGTATCTGTTTATGATTAAACGTAAAGTATTATATTTAAATAGAAATGACTTATAGGTTTAAATCACCAGAACTCCTTCTTATTCAATAACATGAATTTGATTCTACCATCTCTTTCTAAAGATGTCGAGGATTTTCAGGAAAGAAAAGAAACTTCATTTACGTTGATCGAATTCAACACAGAGCTTAATATAATATGTAACAAGTGCTCTTAGGAAATCTGTATCAGGCATTTACAAAATGCGAATTTCGTTCCTAACTATATAATAATTTGATGTTTTTTTCAATCAAGGGTTTACCCGGTCGACCAGGACCAGTTGGGCTTTTAGGAGATCGAGGTGAACCTGGTGAACCCGGAATACCTGGTGAAATTGGACCGATAGGTATGGTTGGTGTACCTGGTCAAAATGGGGAGCAGGGAGCACCAGGAGAACGTGGTCCACCAGGACCACGTGGTCCTCAAGGAATTCCAGGCAAGCCTGGGGTAGAGGGTATCGAGGGAGTACAGGTGAGTTATAGGAAATTCCAATTAAAACACAAGATTTACTCAAAATATTAATTTTTAGCTAAGATAAATAAATCTTGGATTAGCTTGAAAATTTTAATTAATCAATATTTTAGTCTTAAGCAATGATATAGTTTTGTGCATAGACTGAACATTACCAATCACACAGTACTCTATTTTTAAAGATTAAAAATCTTCTAAGATTTCTTTTGGATAAAATGACTCTATAAAAATACATGTAAGGTTAGTGAATTCGGAAAAGAACGGTGACAGTGATTAATGTATTGTTGTGTTAAACATCTTTCCTGCGAAGTTTCAGTAAAATGTATGGAAAAAGTCTTAATAAATTGCGATTTATTTGAAACTACAAAATCATACCATTGGATATCCGATCATTAACTCAAAATTACATGTTTGGCGAGAGACCTAGATGTTCTAGGTTCAATTCCTATCGAGATCATATGTGCTCACAGTCGGGTGTTTCAAACTAGGACGAATTGGTCATCCAATCAATATTCTCATGTTCTCGGTTTTATCTTCAAAACAACGAAGTAGTTGGTTCGACTCCAGAATGTTTATATTTTGCTGTAAAAGGCTCGCCTAAAACATGATTCCTATGCCAGATATTAATGACTAGTTATTTCTAGATCTGATAAACATTATCCACTTAAGTATTGCAACCATTCAGTTACTTTTAGATAGTGAGTAGAATCGTTGCATTAATCATGGCATTTTTATTGTTTTATGTTCGATCCAGGTTTGAAACATGATAAAAGTACTAATGACTTATTTCCTATTAAGATTATTAGTGTGTGAACAGAATATGATAAAAAACACGTGTATCAATGTATTTTTACTAAATTTTGGTTATTGTATTCTAGGGTGAAAAAGGAGCTAAGGGTGCCGCAGGGCCATCTGGTCCAAGCGGTCCAGTTGGATTACGAGGAACACGTGGACCGCCAGGTCCATCAGGAGATCCAGGTTCTAAAGGAGATGAAGGTCGCACTGGTCCGCATGGAAACATTGGTGACAAAGGTGACAGAGGCCCTCCTGGGCCACATGGACCACCTGGTCCAATAGGAACAGTTGGACCACAAGGATTGCCTGGAAGTCAAGGTGAACCTGGGTACGTGGATTGAAAGTTTCATTAGGTGGCTTAAGACTTAGACTTATATGTTTTCATCAGTGTATCTGACTCGTTTTTGCTACCTTCTTAAATCTCAACTAGTGACAAGGGTGCGCGAGGTCCTCCAGGCCCAGTCGGCGAAACAGGTGAAAAAGGTGTTCAGGGGTTAATTGGCAAACCGGGATTACGTGGATCAACAGGAGCTGATGGAGAACAAGGAGACCAAGGAAGTCCAGGTCCACAAGGTACTAAGGGTGAAAGAGGAGAAGTGGTAAGCTCAATGCTGAAATAAGCAATAGTACCAATTTTCGTTAATGCTTCTAATAATTACTCAGCAAGCGTTAATTTTTCGCTCACTTTTTTGCAAATCCTTTCCTCATAGGGTGAACAAGGTTCTCCTGGACAGCAAGGGGCAGCCGGATCTCCAGGTCCTCAAGGTATGGTTGGAGAGCCCGGAGAGGTTGGAAATGCCGGAGTAACAGGGCCGAAAGGTATAGAAGGTAAAGTTGGTCCACCGGGACCACCTGGACCTGCTGGTGTGCAAGTGAGTTTGAATTTGAATAAAATTTTCAGTATGGTTATCTTAAATGGTCCCTATATCATTCTAAGATCATGCTTTTTGACATACTACTACTGTACATAGTAGCAAATTGATGACTATGTGGAATAATTTATCAGCTTATACAAATTTTCATGCGGGACTGAAGATCCGTGGTTCGATTCCCGCTTGCAGCGTCGTAGATGTGCACTGCTGACTAGTCACATACTGCGACAAAACGGCCGTCTAGTGCTTTCAGGTTTCCAAAGGTGAAATACGAATGAACGGTTCATGATTCCAATAAAATATATAAACATTTTTTACTGAGTTTAGTTTTACCTTTGTTATTCAGCTAGCGAGGTGTACAGCTGTTCCAAAGTTATCTAATAAGTCGTTCAGTCTCGATATGGAGTACGTTAACACCATAAAATTTGCTAAAAGATTAGTAAATTTAAGTCATTCAACTCGTTGTATAAAAAGTCATAAATATCTGTCGAACTGTCAGCAGATTTTACATATAAATGAATAAGTTATGAATAAAATCCACGAAAGAAAAATTTTTTGAACTATTCCTACCTTCTTTGTAATTCATCTAAGGGCTCACCTGGTCGAAGTGGTCCACGTGGGGAACCTGGTATTAAAGGAGTGATCGGCAAAGAAGGCCCACTCGGATTTCCCGGACCTGTTGGTTTGGCTGGCGCTTCGGGAAAAATGGGAATACCTGGTGTACCTGGTCCTCCAGGATTATCTGGATTGAAAGGAGAACAAGGAAAGCCGGGTCCACGGGGTGAACAGGGGGCTCAAGGTACTGTGGGGCCATCTGGACCAAAAGGAATGAAAGGGATGCTTGGTAGACCTGGACGACAAGGTCAGCCTGGTTCTGCAGGACCGCCGGGAATAGTTGGGGAGCCAGGGGTTCAGGTAAGAGACATATTTTTATGAACTACACTTGATAACCATCCATTTAGTTGAAAGAATAAACGTCGCTATTTACATTATTTTTATTATCACAGGTAAATAAAATATCGCCAAATTATTTAACCATATTTAACACAATTTTAAATTGTATATTCCATTATATTTCAGGGAGCACAAGGGCCAATGGGTCCAATTGGTGCCCCAGGACTGCCGGGTGAGCCTGGTGCCGCAGGTTTACCTGGAAAAGATGGAGTCCGGGGAGGTATTGGCCTAGAAGGAATGTTTGGTGATGACGGGCCGCCAGGACCTCCCGGAACGGTGGGCGTTCCTGGTGTCCAAGGTCCTCCTGGAACCGCGGGTGATACTGGCCCTTCGGGAGATCCGGGAGATCGTGGTGCTGCTGGACCAATGGGAGCGCCTGGTGAGCGGGGACCACCCGGAATCATGGGAGCTGAAGGACAAGTCGGTCCTCAGGGGCCTGAAGGAGAGCAAGTAGGTTGATTTTTCTAAATTCAGAAGATATTTTATCTTGACCTCATCCAGCGGATAAATATTCTACTTGTTTTGTAATTTCAGGGTCTTCAAGGTCCGCCAGGAGAATCTGGACCGAAAGGCAATACAGGCAAACCGGTAAGTATCCGTTTTTCTTATCAAAGACTGAAACAATCTTCCTTTCGCTCTTTGCTATAACATCGTTCTTTTCTGCTTTTTCATTTACCGTTAAAGGGTTCGCCAGGTTCAATTGGTCCGAAAGGAGAGTCTGGTCCAAAAGGTGTAGGAGGTAATCCTGGAACAGTAGGACCAACTGGACTTAAAGGAGAGCAGGGTAGCATAGGAGACCCTGGACCGACTGGAAAACAAGGTGAAATGGGTGGACATGGAGATCAGGGACCTCCTGGTCCTCGAGGGCCTAATGGCGATGAAGGAGAACCTGGGCCTCCAGGTCCAATAGGCCCTGCTGGCCCACCTGGCTTACAAGGCAAGTATTTTGTCTGGTACTTCTTTGTTAAAAGATTCTAAAGTTTACCGCACTAATTATGAAACCCGGGATCAAACAATGATGAAACCTATAACAAAGCAACTGTGAATTTTTTTTCAGTTCCTATACTATAGTAGTGAAAGGTATTGTAAGATAATTTATTAATCGTTGCTTAGATCGATCAAACTGTACGACCAATAAATTATTTTTCTATACATTTTATTTTAATCGTATAATGCATGTAGACTGATTTTTTATCCTATAAATGAATCATTTTACTGTGAATGCTCTTGAATGTATTTATAATTAATAGGTTGCTAATTTACTCGATAAAACAAGAAAGACTGGTTTAGCAAAGAGTACTCTTTTCAGGCAAATTCATTTTCAAAGCTGTACAATAGTAAATGTATACATTGTTTCACATAATGATAATTACAATAATAGTAATCATAAAAAAATTTTATTCAACATAGTAGTAGTGCAACAAATTCAAATTAAGATATCAAATGTTATTTGGATTAAAAGAATTGAGCACAATTTTGTTTTTTGTTTTATGAGAGCTTGACTATTTATTCATCAAGATCATTGATAAAGAAATTACAATCACAAAAAGGGTGGTTCAGTGTGATAAGATAAAATGTTCAAATCGAAGATGAACTGTAATAAAGGAGGGTCACAAAAAAACAGACACCAAAGTCCATAGAGAAGCAGATAGAAAAGATGAAGGTGGTTGTGAGAGAAAACAAAAAACCAAATTAAATTTTACATGAGATTAAGACCACAGTAGGAAAGGTGGTTATACCAGTTTCCTCTATGCACACAACTTTGGTTTTTCCCTACGTCTGGCAGGTGCTTCGGCAATGCCAGGAAGACAACAGTTAACTGCCTTTAGGAGTTTTCTATACACCTTGTGGATGAGTTTGGACGCAGAATACGTTTTAATCGAATGACCTGTGTTCACAAGTTGTTCGATTATTAGGATCCTTGTTGAGCAGTGTCCATCTCTTTTCAATCAATCTGGATAATGTTCTTGAATTCTACTGGATAAAATCCGCATTGAACAACTCATACACTTAGTTCCATATGAACCGGTAAATCAATAAAAACATATGGATTTAGTCAAATGCGATAATTTACCATTTATATTGTTGTGGAACATTGATCAGCATGAGAAAACTAGCCTAAAAGTTGCTGCTAAAACAAAACTCTTCACCGAACCATTCTTTATTTTTTAATGTTTCATTGAGTAAACTCCATTTATTTATTCTAATCTAATCTCTAAGATCTCATTAAAATTTCTCCTATAGATAATTTTATCACTATCAAAGTTACTAGCAATATTATTGCCTAGCATTAACGAAATATCATCAACATAGTAATAATATTATTAGTATTTCATATTTTTACTTAACCAGGTCCTCGAGGAGAGCAAGGTCATCAAGGTGATCCTGGACCAATGGGTAAACAAGGCCCACAAGGTCAAGTAAAAATAACCAATAATGGAGAAAATTTACGAATGAGATATAAAAGATCAGCTATAATACAAACCGGTAAAGATAAACTATTTTAATCTTTTATACTTTTTATCAACTGACTAAATTTCTTTTATTTCGAAAGATCAATTTTTTTACCAGATAAAATGTTTATGAGATCTCGATTTTAGAAGTTCATTTGTCAATTTATATTTCATGGGTTTATTAGAGTAAAATTATTAAAATTAACTGTTCATATATATTTGAGTTGTATGAATGGTATGATTATACTTTATAAATTCCAAAAACAATTAACATACAAATTGTTCCATTTTTTTTGTAGAAGAAACACTTGAACAAATAAATCAAAATATATTTGGACGTGTCGATGCACTGAATAAGAAAGTACGTTCAAGACGTTATGCAACTGGTTTAAGTCCACAAAATCCAGCACGAACATGTAAAGATGTCAGATTGACTAATAAATTTGCTCAAAATGATACGTAAGTTTTATGTGTAGAAAATAAGTTATCAGATACAAAACCAGTATACAAAATCTAATGCTTAAAAATACTTTTCTCAATAAAAAACTTTCCACAAATGATAGATCGTTTGAAACTCTTGGTTATGGTGTTGAAAAATTTGAATTATTTTAAATAAAAAATTTTTTTTCAATAACTACATTAATTATTATTAAAGTTAGAAATTCATCATTACTATTTTATTAGCAATGGACAACATCAGAAATTTTTTTAAACAAATGAAAAAGATAATGTTCTATGTAAAGAGGAAGTCAACTTTTTTATGCCTGACATCCAAACATTTCATCAGTAAATTTTGATGGTCATTTAGGAATGGATATGAAAATTCTTTTCTACGTGTCGAATTACTGTCAGCATTATGAAATAAATTATATTCATGAAATGCACAATGGGAAAAATGTTGATTGGTTAACTGGGACAATAATAATAATAATAATAATAATAATAATAATAATAATAGGAATAGGAATAATTATTAAATAGAGCTTATAGAGATTTTCTGAATTCAGTAAACAAACATTATGAACTGATACTAGTTTAACTAAGATCATCATCATCATCAAGCTCACCAAGTGTATTGGAAGATGGTTGCATGTTATTAAAAATTGATAGAACATGTAAACCATGGCTCAGCAGTCTTCATTTTAAGTGTTTGCGTGTGAGACCTAATAATCCTAGGTTCAATCCATACTAAAACCCATACTAATACAAAACAGCAGTTCAATGCCTCGTGGTTTCCACCAGTTGTTTAACTAAGATCAGTTCATGAACTTAACTAAAAAGATGATAATACTAATACTAATTTACAATTTATTACTGGTTATATATAATCAATCTAGATTTCTGTGTTATGGAGAAGACAATTTGTATTAAACTTTATAATGCTATAATTATTTCTTAAACAGATTAGACATCCAACTCAAGTTTCACATTATTGATAAGAATGGTGAAGAGGTTGAGACACCAATGAAATTGCGTGACATTTGATGTACAGTTTATAAAATACTGAGATATTGCTCAAAGTTGACTTGAGCTACTTCACATGCCACAAAGTTATTCAAATATAATAAGCAGTGACTTGAATTTGCCATCCAGACACTTTTATTTTAATACGTTTGAATTGCTTAACAATATGTGGTTTAACCTGACTTTGTTCATTTCCTCTAATCGCATGAATACAGTTTATTGTTCGTTTGCTCCGCTTAAAAAAATACTTTCGGCCAAAATATTTCTGATATCATCCTACTATTAACACATACGAGATTTTTGATATGTAGCAGTTAAGATTAGTGTATGATAATACAAATAAATGAGATTTTTATCATGCTGAAATGTATGAGAGAGACTAATGAATAATACGACATACTTAGTAGAACATAAATGAGGTATTTCCTTTCATCAATCAGTTAAAATATGATCAGTTTGAAAATCAATACAATCAAACTGGAATAACAAATTTTGAAACTTAACTAACTAATGTTCGATTTCAAAATGGTGTCAATTGATTCTAAAAGATAAATGATATTTCAAATTAGAGTAGACTAATTCAAAATCTTATGAAATTTATTCTAACATCAATGGTCAGTTCTATAAAACTCATATTTTCGAATTAAGTTTATCCACATGAAAGACTCAGCTTAAATGGAGGTGGGGGCGTTTGTGTGATAATTATGAATTAAAAAACTACAAGTATTTTTCATTGTTTATTTTGTCAAAAATGTCATGTTACGTTACTTAAGAGTCGGAACTGTAAATGACAGAATTTAAACCATAGTAAATAGAACAATAACTGAAAAATTCCTACTTTAGTCTGTCACAATCTCGGAAATAATTATCAATATCTTCATTTATACTAAAAAATGTTAACGAAAAAAGAACCATTTCAATAGACACACCTCATACACTTGTGTTAGTCCAATGAATGATCAAGGAAGAAAGAGTATGTGTTAGGCTTAAGTAGGTTATATGCTTTGCTACTGTAGTGTTGACTAACTTCTGTAAACGTTAATAATTTTTATCATGAATGGAAAACGAATGAATAGGCTTTTTATGAAAGATTACTTTATCAGTCGATTGAAATCAAGTTTCCATAGTTGACTAACACGAACTGGTCAGTCATATAAAACTGTGGAAGACTATACAGCTGTTTTGGTTATGGAACTCAATAGTGAACAGCAAATTATAAAATTTTCATATAACAATCTTGACAAAAGTTAAGCTTACTGATAATTGTGTATTGTCTAGTTTCTAACTTCTATGTGAACATTTCATGGTTTAATACCGATTAGTAATTGGTAGAGTTCAATAATCGCAGATATGATATATCGAGAACATTGAGCGTAATGCTCATTATCTTATCTTATAACCGAGAGTTCGATGTTTGATAGCTAAAAGAGTGGTCATTGCTGTGAAGCATGAATGCAAACTAAATAACTCTCTAATGCCCCATTAATTTCAGTGATTGTATAGCTGATGTTACATCATTAATCAAACACCAACTTTTAACTGATACTCATATATTGACAATATCAGTTAGTGATTTATCATAATTATTATTATTATCTTTATCTTCAATATTAATACTTTTGTACTAGTATTTTTCTCTTCTAAATCACTAGTTATTGGATCGATCCAAATGAAGGGTCAAACAAAGATGCAATAAGAGCAAAGTGTACATTTTTTGATGATGGCATTGTTGAGACCTGTGTTGATTCAAGCATGGATCAAGTAAGTGAATGTTACTAACAATATTAGAAATTTATTAAGCGTGAATAATTGTTTTTAGTGGAAATTGTTTTTTTGTGAGTGAAATTTAACTTTGATGTGATATTAATGAGGATAAACAAAGTGCAAAACTCAGTTACAACAGTATGTAGAAGTTGAAAAAGTTTTGATTATTCGATGAACGAATGTCACAGTGTTGTTTAAGTTCATTATTTTCCTTTAAATATTGAGATTCGGACTAATTTATACCTTGATATTTTGTTGTATAGGTATTTGTTTGTTATAAAAAAAATTTGTTGCAAGCAGATTTACTCAGCAGTCGGTATCATTTTTTCTATTTTTTGTGATGATTATTCTATAATTATTTCTCTCATGTATATTAATAATAACAATAATAATATTATGTAAAATATGACAACTTTGATGTACACCTATTGGTACAATGTTTTGTTCTTTCTTACTGAATATATATATATATATATATATATATATATATATTATATGGTCTTCAAATGTACAAACAAAATTCATACTGTTGTACAACCTTGTGATTGACTGATCCTTTCAATATTCCTCTACTAAATCTATTGAATATCTGCTAATAACTTTGATGTAAGTAGAGCTTTTTTCTATAACTAAAGTGTATTTATTTAAAATAAAAACGGTAATAATACTTTGAAATTATGATAACCTTATGATATGTTTCTGTACTAGGGAATATTGGTTACATATTTGAAACCACTACCAAGTGATAGTGAATGGCAAAGTCAACTGCGTGTGATGAATTCTACAACACCACTAGATGTAAGTTGTATAATTAATTTCCAAGTGATTTTCAATTTTAATTTGATCATGTAAATCATTTGATATTTGTGAGATTATTGGTAAACATTTAGTTTGGATTTCTGAAATCATAAATAAACTGAATGTTTGTTTTAAATGTAGTAAATTGAGTCAACATAATTTTCGTAACTTGAACCTATCTGTGTATTCATTGTTGTATGCTTTCGAAATTACTGTTGACCTTCGAGGTTTATCTTGGCAATGAGAAGTCTACCTATAATTTCTTTACTTGTAAAATTAGTTGCAATCATTGTTTAAACGTTGTGCTTTGCCGCATTACGATCCGAAAATCACTTTAAAGTTGTGAAAAACTACATCATGTTCACATATGATGGCGTTTATAGAAAATAGCAGAAGGTTCGAGTCCCACAGTAAACATTAACTCCCTGATGCAGGTGCATCCAAGTGACTAATCCCAAATAAGACGAAATACGCTCCCTGGATTCCATCGTTAACTACTATCTATTTCTGCTAGTTTTAATGATAATCTTGATCGAATAATGAGAGAACAGAGTTGATATTAAAAAAAGACGTTGTATTTGCGGCACTATTTTCGAACAATCTGGTCACACAGAAATTAATAAAGGTCATTTAAATAAAAGCTCAAAGAATTTTAATGTTATGATTGTAAATAAAGGAGAGAGATGATTAACATAGTCTTCAGATAATAGGAAATTGTCTCACTATTGCAGTCAAAAAATGGCTTTGAGATTACCAGATCAAATTCACGGTTATGACAAATTGTTTCCGTACATATTAGGGGGAATCGAATCCGTAAATAAGCAAAGATTCTAGAAACTTAACAATTTCCAAGCGACTTTTTATTTATATCACTTCTATTCCCTGTTTCGATTGTACAATTTGCAATGGGTGAACATAGTTTTCCAATTCCGAAGTTTAGCGTATCATTCAGCACTAACTGGTTTTGAAGTAATCTAGGCCTGGGAAAATCTTGAATTACTAGATAGAGGAAATATAAAGAACACAAGAGAATTTTTTAGAGTTGCACCAAGTTCAATCCGCAGTCAATAAATACATCCACATTGATCTAATTTGTCAATCAGAAAATTCATAGACAAGCATAAGATCAAGAAACAGATCAAAGGCGGATACAATCAATATAAAGAGGCAAACAACGACAGGTTGTATGTCAATAACAACCAGTCAAGTTAGAGGTCAACAGGACAAGTTACAAGTTATACATGGAGGAATTCAAATACTTCATCACTGCTACCTGTAGTTGGTGCCGATGATGTTCAGAAGAACAATGAAAGCTCCAAAACCAAAGCATCTAGCTTAGAGAATGAAACCCAACCATAGAGTTTCCCTTTATATTATTGTTTTGATCATCAACGACCTCCTCTGACGGTCTCAAATATCTGATTATTCGTAGCTATCAAGCGAACTCCAATCACGTAATCATGTAACACTTAGTAGTACTATTTAATCTCAAAGTAAATGGTTTGATGGACGAATATCATGTCTGAATTTAATGTCTTCAAACTTCTTTATTTTTACTCTTATCCTAGTCGCATCAAGTTATTTGGTCGATGAGCACACTTACCAGTTTCCTCAGTCTATTTACAGTCTCGTTTGCAGATAAGTTAGTTTTACACAAAATTATGTGTTTATAGCTTCCTGACTGCTGAATTTGTTGTTCCTTCGAATACATATACTGCTTAGACGGCATCTATGATCGAATAAGTTCTGATCAATAAAGTCCTTTTTGATAATGAGGATTAAAGGTTTTAGCAATTCTAAAAAAGTATCTTATTTCAAATTTTCAATTTTTTCACTAAGTGTATAGTTTACTATGTTCCATATCAAATTAACTAAAACATTACTTTTCTTTTCACTATTTAGTTACATAATTATGGAAGTCATTCACAAGTTAATATGTTACGTATTCAACATAGATATGCATCACAAGAACTTGAATTTTTATGCGACGGAACAGAAATCTATGGTTCATGGAATCCACGTACAAGTCAATCAGATTTTAATAAAGCTACTGCTCTGTTGGCACATAATGAACGTATGCTTGATTTGACTTCAGGTGAAAGATTAGGACCGGGAAAATATCATATGGATAAACGTAATTATCGAAATAATTTAGATCGTGTTGACACAAATATTATAATAGAATATGATGGATGTCAGGTTAGTAAGTTAATCATGAACATTTTTCTATGTAAAGCCTTTTTTACATATCTAATTATAGTAATAATAATAATTAACGGGTTGGTAGTGTTAAATAAGCTTGAGACTACCAAAGCCATTTAAAACGATCTATTGGATAACCATAATTCAGAAACAAAGAATCGATATTTATTCCACATTAAAATTCATGAAACAAACAATTGTCCGAAAATGTTATTAAAATGTTACTCTTTTCTGTATGAAAAATTCATCTCTCACAATGAATTCAACATAATTTGAAGGCAACGATTATGATTAATAAAGAACTAAATGGAGCATTTAAGATCTAATTAATGATTCAAGTGCAATAAGATCTCACCTTCAACTCTTTAAATGACTTCTTTGGAGACCTTCCTAGCATCTGTTAGCCGCTAAGGTCATCTAGTAATATAGTCATGATGATCTTTATTTGGGCAAGACAGCACTCATTCCTGTTTTTTAGATCTTTCTATTATCAACCAAGACCTCTGGGGACATTTCTGACCATTTTTGTTTGCTTTACCAAGACTATGCAGGCTCTCAAAAGTTTATAATCACATTGCTTTTCAGTTTTGTTATAATAGATCAAATAAATATAATCAAATCTCAGTGTACTTACATTACGTATGAGATCATGTCACATTTTTGCATAGCATTGGTTTACATTCGATGACTCATGATGATAATAGGACTAATTGAGCGTGGAAAGATCAAAGGACAATAAAGTTCAAAATATAACTTGTAATTTACAACACACTTGATGGAGAGTCTTTCAAAGATGTGGAAACCTTTCTATAACTGGACAGTGTCATTTTATTAACAAGGTGGATTTAACGCCAATACAAAAACACCGGTTCGAAAAGCAAATACAGTATTCCTACAACTGAAGAACATGTGTTAGGGATAACATGCGTAAGTACATTACAACACATAGGAGGTCGAGTTAACTAGTAATTAGTCTAACTATCATATCTGAGTTTTGAAAATACAACTTATATAGAAACTAATTAACAGGAGTTGAATATTATGGTATGTTTAACCCTAGAAATAAGATATGTCACAACAAAAACATAGCAGTATAATAAAGCAATTAGAGTTACGTAACGAGAGGATGAAGATTATCAGAACTATATGATATATTAGCGTAATGTGTTTCGAATAATTTTTCGATATGTAAATGTTCTTAACGAATGTAAATATGATCAGATTGTCCGAAACGTATTACGCTAATAAATCACAGTTCTTTTATTCTTCGTTTCCTTGTTAAACTGTCCAATTTCAATGAAGAATAAAATAGGTTTCTATTAGATACTCTTTTGAGAATGATTGATTAATACCTTTGAAATCATTTTCAATGACACTTTCCTTATTTCTCTATCTCCTTCTCTTGTTATAGTACTTGACAAAAGGTGCAGCCACCAAATTATTGATTGAAACAAGAGACTTAGAAGTATTACCAATTATTGACTTTAAAGTACGTAATTTTGACAAACAAGGCACATGTTCACTAAGTGTAAATGTCGGTGCTGTATGTTATCGTACATAGCAAAAAATTACGAACAGAATCGCAGTAATGAAGATAATGGAAGAGAGAAAATGAAAATTTCGGAAAAAAAACTATATTTCATTAAATAAATTCCTATGCTCACTATTTAATGGACAATCGTTCACTGTTGTTTTGGTTTTGTCTGTATGAATAATCTTTCAATTTTGAATTAATTTAATAAAATCCATGCTGTTTTAATGAGCACCAGAAGTGACAAAACTATGCAATTTTCAATTAGAATTCAATGAAAGCTAGGTAAAAGCCATTTTGACTAATCCTAAATATTTTGATTCAAAACATATGTAAATCCTATTAGTTGTAATAGTATTTTAAGTGTAAAGATATCATTGTTTTCTGGTAAGAAATGGCATTTGTATTCGGGATTATTGATTAAAAGTTTTTAATGTGTAAATTAGGTGGAAACTTTTTTCCTATTGTGACTGAATTGACCTACAAATTAACTTAACAATTTACTCAAATCAAATCACATATTACAAAGACCCTGACATTTTTTATATTTTTCTGAGGACTTACGGTTATTCTGAATTACGAACCATTGAAAGATGTCATCTGAAATGAGCGGGAACTATGCATCTTAAAAAGCACTTCAAAAAGTATAGTTCGCCGTGTACATTTAAAGACACTGTAAGAAATGAAGGAAAATTTGATATTCCAAGGAGTCAAAACTGTAACTGAACAGCTCTATTCAGATTGTAATGACTAAGACCTTAAATAATCTGACCAAACACAAGCAAACAGCAAACTAAGCAAAGAAATAAACAATCAATTTACAATTACTGAATTCTTCTCTGGCCTTTAGGAAACTATAATTTTTGAACAAAACTAAGAAAGCTAAATTAGTTAAAAGCTTCTGAGACAGATTTACAATACACAACGAAATGGGTATATTCATTTCTTTTGAATGTCACAAATAACTTGATAATACAATTCAGTGATTATAGCAAACTTAGTAAAAATGAATTAGGCTAATTGATGAGAAGAACAAGGTTTATTATGCAAGGCAACAGTATTTGCATACACTAATTGAATGAAATGAATAAGACAAGAATAATATGTCTCTGTCAGCATTTTTTCTTCATCATTATACACTTTTAGTTTAGATGTATGTAAATAAGTTTACCATACTAAACTAAACTTATTATCCATATTATAAACAAACTTAGCTGTTTAACATTAGAGCAACAGCTTATATCATCTATTTTGAATGAACTATCAAAAACACAAATAATAACACATTGTTATAGAACCTCACAATTGTGTACACTATGTTGCGAGAATGATTTCTGGTTGTCAACAACTATCTAAAAATTCATTCATAACAACTTGAGTTTTACAAATCGAACAAATTTAAATTATTGTAAATTTATGCAACTCATTTGTTTCAGTAAATATCATTGATAAAATGAGATTATTTTTGTCAATCAAATTCAACAACAAATTCATATAACTGTGTTCGAATCAACTATGCAGAAGCAGTAAACCGAGACTATGTAGAATGACTTATTAACGATAGCTAAATAAAATGACTTGAAAAGTATTTATACTATAAGGTCGAAAAATCTGGGCTTTCAGCTTGGCTAAATAAGTAATTCACACAACAGTCTGTCGATATTTTTGTCCTCATTGTTATATGGTCAAACGCAATTTGCGTTAATCAGATCAGTGCATAATATATTTCTGTTTGAATATATTACCCAGGCTTTTACAAAAAAATATAAACTACTTTATAATAGTCAGTAGGTAGACTTATATTACAATCATGAGTGAATTCAATGATGAGTTGAATTTCATCATCAGTGATCCAATTAATCGATTGTAATTAATTACAATCGATTAATTGGATCACTGATGATGAAATTCAACTCATCATTGAATTCACTCATGATTGTAATATAAGTCTACCTACTGACTATTATAAAGTAGTTTATATTTTTTTGTAAAAGCCTGGGTAATATATTCAAACAGAAATATATTATGCACTGATCTGATTAACGCAAATTGCGTTTGACCATATAACAATGAGGACAAAAATATCGACAGACTGTTGTGTGAATTACTTATTTAGCCAAGCTGAAAGCCCAGATTTTTCGACCTTATAGTATAAATACTTTTCAAGTCATTTTATTTAGCTATCGTTAATAAGTCATTCTACATAGTCTCGGTTTACTGCTTCTGCATAGTTGATTCGAACACAGTTATATGAATTTGTTGTTGAATTTGATTGACAAAAATAATCTCATTTTATCAATGATATTTACTGAAACAAATGAGTTGCATAAATTTACAATAATTTAAATTTGTTCGATTTGTAAAACTCAAGTTGTTATGAATGAATTTTTAGATAGTTGTTGACAACCAGAAATCATTCTCGCAACATAGTGTACACAATTGTGAGGTTCTATAACAATGTGTTATTATTTGTGTTTTTGATAGTTCATTCAAAATAGATGATATAAGCTGTTGCTCTAATGTTAAACAGCTAAGTTTGTTTATAATATGGATAATAAGTTTAGTTTAGTATGGTAAACTTATTTACATACATCTAAACTAAAAGTGTATAATGATGAAGAAAAAATGCTGACAGAGACATATTATTCTTGTCTTATTCATTTCATTCAATTAGTGTATGCAAATACTGTTGCCTTGCATAATAAACCTTGTTCTTCTCATCAATTAGCCTAATTCATTTTTACTAAGTTTGCTATAATCACTGAATTGTATTATCAAGTTATTTGTGACATTCAAAAGAAATGAATATACCCATTTCGTTGTGTATTGTAAATCTGTCTCAGAAGCTTTTAACTAATTTAGCTTTCTTAGTTTTGTTCAAAAATTATAGTTTCCTAAAGGCCAGAGAAGAATTCAGTAATTGTAAATTGATTGTTTATTTCTTTGCTTAGTTTGCTGTTTGCTTGTGTTTGGTCAGATTATTTAAGGTCTTAGTCATTACAATCTGAATAGAGCTGTTCAGTTACAGTTTTGACTCCTTGGAATATCAAATTTTCCTTCATTTCTTACAGTGTCTTTAAATGTACACGGCGAACTATACTTTTTGAAGTGCTTTTTAAGATGCATAGTTCCCGCTCATTTCAGATGACATCTTTCAATGGTTCGTAATTCAGAATAACCGTAAGTCCTCAGAAAAATATAAAAAATGTCAGGGTCTTTGTAATATGTGATTTGATTTGAGTAAATTGTTAAGTTAATTTGTAGGTCAATTCAGTCACAATAGGAAAAAAGTTTCCACCTAATTTACACATTAAAAACTTTTAATCAATAATCCCGAATACAAATGCCATTTCTTACCAGAAAACAATGATATCTTTACACTTAAAATACTATTACAACTAATAGGATTTACATATGTTTTGAATCAAAATATTTAGGATTAGTCAAAATGGCTTTTACCTAGCTTTCATTGAATTCTAATTGAAAATTGCATAGTTTTGTCACTTCTGGTGCTCATTAAAACAGCATGGATTTTATTAAATTAATTCAAAATTGAAAGATTATTCATACAGACAAAACCAAAACAACAGTGAACGATTGTCCATTAAATAGTGAGCATAGGAATTTATTTAATGAAATATAGTTTTTTTTCCGAAATTTTCATTTTCTCTCTTCCATTATCTTCATTACTGCGATTCTGTTCGTAATTTTTTGCTATGTACGATAACATACAGCACCGACATTTACACTTAGTGAACATGTGCCTTGTTTGTCAAAATTACGTACTTTAAAGTCAATAATTGGTAATACTTCTAAGTCTCTTGTTTCAATCAATAATTTGGTGGCTGCACCTTTTGTCAAGTACTATAACAAGAGAAGGAGATAGAGAAATAAGGAAAGTGTCATTGAAAATGATTTCAAAGGTATTAATCAATCATTCTCAAAAGAGTATCTAATAGAAACCTATTTTATTCTTCATTGAAATTGGACAGTTTAACAAGGAAACGAAGAATAAAAGAACTGTGATTTATTAGCGTAATACGTTTCGGACAATCTGATCATATTTACATTCGTTAAGAACATTTACATATCGAAAAATTATTCGAAACACATTACGCTAATATATCATATAGTTCTGATAATCTTCATCCTCTCGTTACGTAACTCTAATTGCTTTATTATACTGCTATGTTTTTGTTGTGACATATCTTATTTCTAGGGTTAAACATACCATAATATTCAACTCCTGTTAATTAGTTTCTATATAAGTTGTATTTTCAAAACTCAGATATGATAGTTAGACTAATTACTAGTTAACTCGACCTCCTATGTGTTGTAATGTACTTACGCATGTTATCCCTAACACATGTTCTTCAGTTGTAGGAATACTGTATTTGCTTTTCGAACCGGTGTTTTTGTATTGGCGTTAAATCCACCTTGTTAATAAAATGACACTGTCCAGTTATAGAAAGGTTTCCACATCTTTGAAAGACTCTCCATCAAGTGTGTTGTAAATTACAAGTTATATTTTGAACTTTATTGTCCTTTGATCTTTCCACGCTCAATTAGTCCTATTATCATCATGAGTCATCGAATGTAAACCAATGCTATGCAAAAATGTGACATGATCTCATACGTAATGTAAGTACACTGAGATTTGATTATATTTATTTGATCTATTATAACAAAACTGAAAAGCAATGTGATTATAAACTTTTGAGAGCCTGCATAGTCTTGGTAAAGCAAACAAAAATGGTCAGAAATGTCCCCAGAGGTCTTGGTTGATAATAGAAAGATCTAAAAAACAGGAATGAGTGCTGTCTTGCCCAAATAAAGATCATCATGACTATATTACTAGATGACCTTAGCGGCTAACAGATGCTAGGAAGGTCTCCAAAGAAGTCATTTAAAGAGTTGAAGGTGAGATCTTATTGCACTTGAATCATTAATTAGATCTTAAATGCTCCATTTAGTTCTTTATTAATCATAATCGTTGCCTTCAAATTATGTTGAATTCATTGTGAGAGATGAATTTTTCATACAGAAAAGAGTAACATTTTAATAACATTTTCGGACAATTGTTTGTTTCATGAATTTTAATGTGGAATAAATATCGATTCTTTGTTTCTGAATTATGGTTATCCAATAGATCGTTTTAAATGGCTTTGGTAGTCTCAAGCTTATTTAACACTACCAACCCGTTAATTATTATTATTACTATAATTAGATATGTAAAAAAGGCTTTACATAGAAAAATGTTCATGATTAACTTACTAACCTGACATCCATCATATTCTATTATAATATTTGTGTCAACACGATCTAAATTATTTCGATAATTACGTTTATCCATATGATATTTTCCCGGTCCTAATCTTTCACCTGAAGTCAAATCAAGCATACGTTCATTATGTGCCAACAGAGCAGTAGCTTTATTAAAATCTGATTGACTTGTACGTGGATTCCATGAACCATAGATTTCTGTTCCGTCGCATAAAAATTCAAGTTCTTGTGATGCATATCTATGTTGAATACGTAACATATTAACTTGTGAATGACTTCCATAATTATGTAACTAAATAGTGAAAAGAAAAGTAATGTTTTAGTTAATTTGATATGGAACATAGTAAACTATACACTTAGTGAAAAAATTGAAAATTTGAAATAAGATACTTTTTTAGAATTGCTAAAACCTTTAATCCTCATTATCAAAAAGGACTTTATTGATCAGAACTTATTCGATCATAGATGCCGTCTAAGCAGTATATGTATTCGAAGGAACAACAAATTCAGCAGTCAGGAAGCTATAAACACATAATTTTGTGTAAAACTAACTTATCTGCAAACGAGACTGTAAATAGACTGAGGAAACTGGTAAGTGTGCTCATCGACCAAATAACTTGATGCGACTAGGATAAGAGTAAAAATAAAGAAGTTTGAAGACATTAAATTCAGACATGATATTCGTCCATCAAACCATTTACTTTGAGATTAAATAGTACTACTAAGTGTTACATGATTACGTGATTGGAGTTCGCTTGATAGCTACGAATAATCAGATATTTGAGACCGTCAGAGGAGGTCGTTGATGATCAAAACAATAATATAAAGGGAAACTCTATGGTTGGGTTTCATTCTCTAAGCTAGATGCTTTGGTTTTGGAGCTTTCATTGTTCTTCTGAACATCATCGGCACCAACTACAGGTAGCAGTGATGAAGTATTTGAATTCCTCCATGTATAACTTGTAACTTGTCCTGTTGACCTCTAACTTGACTGGTTGTTATTGACATACAACCTGTCGTTGTTTGCCTCTTTATATTGATTGTATCCGCCTTTGATCTGTTTCTTGATCTTATGCTTGTCTATGAATTTTCTGATTGACAAATTAGATCAATGTGGATGTATTTATTGACTGCGGATTGAACTTGGTGCAACTCTAAAAAATTCTCTTGTGTTCTTTATATTTCCTCTATCTAGTAATTCAAGATTTTCCCAGGCCTAGATTACTTCAAAACCAGTTAGTGCTGAATGATACGCTAAACTTCGGAATTGGAAAACTATGTTCACCCATTGCAAATTGTACAATCGAAACAGGGAATAGAAGTGATATAAATAAAAAGTCGCTTGGAAATTGTTAAGTTTCTAGAATCTTTGCTTATTTACGGATTCGATTCCCCCTAATATGTACGGAAACAATTTGTCATAACCGTGAATTTGATCTGGTAATCTCAAAGCCATTTTTTGACTGCAATAGTGAGACAATTTCCTATTATCTGAAGACTATGTTAATCATCTCTCTCCTTTATTTACAATCATAACATTAAAATTCTTTGAGCTTTTATTTAAATGACCTTTATTAATTTCTGTGTGACCAGATTGTTCGAAAATAGTGCCGCAAATACAACGTCTTTTTTTAATATCAACTCTGTTCTCTCATTATTCGATCAAGATTATCATTAAAACTAGCAGAAATAGATAGTAGTTAACGATGGAATCCAGGGAGCGTATTTCGTCTTATTTGGGATTAGTCACTTGGATGCACCTGCATCAGGGAGTTAATGTTTACTGTGGGACTCGAACCTTCTGCTATTTTCTATAAACGCCATCATATGTGAACATGATGTAGTTTTTCACAACTTTAAAGTGATTTTCGGATCGTAATGCGGCAAAGCACAACGTTTAAACAATGATTGCAACTAATTTTACAAGTAAAGAAATTATAGGTAGACTTCTCATTGCCAAGATAAACCTCGAAGGTCAACAGTAATTTCGAAAGCATACAACAATGAATACACAGATAGGTTCAAGTTACGAAAATTATGTTGACTCAATTTACTACATTTAAAACAAACATTCAGTTTATTTATGATTTCAGAAATCCAAACTAAATGTTTACCAATAATCTCACAAATATCAAATGATTTACATGATCAAATTAAAATTGAAAATCACTTGGAAATTAATTATACAACTTACATCTAGTGGTGTTGTAGAATTCATCACACGCAGTTGACTTTGCCATTCACTATCACTTGGTAGTGGTTTCAAATATGTAACCAATATTCCCTAGTACAGAAACATATCATAAGGTTATCATAATTTCAAAGTATTATTACCGTTTTTATTTTAAATAAATACACTTTAGTTATAGAAAAAAGCTCTACTTACATCAAAGTTATTAGCAGATATTCAATAGATTTAGTAGAGGAATATTGAAAGGATCAGTCAATCACAAGGTTGTACAACAGTATGAATTTTGTTTGTACATTTGAAGACCATATAATATATATATATATATATATATATATATATATATATATTCAGTAAGAAAGAACAAAACATTGTACCAATAGGTGTACATCAAAGTTGTCATATTTTACATAATATTATTATTGTTATTATTAATATACATGAGAGAAATAATTATAGAATAATCATCACAAAAAATAGAAAAAATGATACCGACTGCTGAGTAAATCTGCTTGCAACAAATTTTTTTTATAACAAACAAATACCTATACAACAAAATATCAAGGTATAAATTAGTCCGAATCTCAATATTTAAAGGAAAATAATGAACTTAAACAACACTGTGACATTCGTTCATCGAATAATCAAAACTTTTTCAACTTCTACATACTGTTGTAACTGAGTTTTGCACTTTGTTTATCCTCATTAATATCACATCAAAGTTAAATTTCACTCACAAAAAAACAATTTCCACTAAAAACAATTATTCACGCTTAATAAATTTCTAATATTGTTAGTAACATTCACTTACTTGATCCATGCTTGAATCAACACAGGTCTCAACAATGCCATCATCAAAAAATGTACACTTTGCTCTTATTGCATCTTTGTTTGACCCTTCATTTGGATCGATCCAATAACTAGTGATTTAGAAGAGAAAAATACTAGTACAAAAGTATTAATATTGAAGATAAAGATAATAATAATAATTATGATAAATCACTAACTGATATTGTCAATATATGAGTATCAGTTAAAAGTTGGTGTTTGATTAATGATGTAACATCAGCTATACAATCACTGAAATTAATGGGGCATTAGAGAGTTATTTAGTTTGCATTCATGCTTCACAGCAATGACCACTCTTTTAGCTATCAAACATCGAACTCTCGGTTATAAGATAAGATAATGAGCATTACGCTCAATGTTCTCGATATATCATATCTGCGATTATTGAACTCTACCAATTACTAATCGGTATTAAACCATGAAATGTTCACATAGAAGTTAGAAACTAGACAATACACAATTATCAGTAAGCTTAACTTTTGTCAAGATTGTTATATGAAAATTTTATAATTTGCTGTTCACTATTGAGTTCCATAACCAAAACAGCTGTATAGTCTTCCACAGTTTTATATGACTGACCAGTTCGTGTTAGTCAACTATGGAAACTTGATTTCAATCGACTGATAAAGTAATCTTTCATAAAAAGCCTATTCATTCGTTTTCCATTCATGATAAAAATTATTAACGTTTACAGAAGTTAGTCAACACTACAGTAGCAAAGCATATAACCTACTTAAGCCTAACACTTACTCTTTCTTCCTTGATCATTCATTGGACTAACACAAGTGTATGAGGTGTGTCTATTGAAATGGTTCTTTTTTCGTTAACATTTTTTAGTATAAATGAAGATATTGATAATTATTTCCGAGATTGTGACAGACTAAAGTAGGAATTTTTCAGTTATTGTTCTATTTACTATGGTTTAAATTCTGTCATTTACAGTTCCGACTCTTAAGTAACGTAACATGACATTTTTGACAAAATAAACAATGAAAAATACTTGTAGTTTTTTAATTCATAATTATCACACAAACGCCCCCACCTCCATTTAAGCTGAGTCTTTCATGTGGATAAACTTAATTCGAAAATATGAGTTTTATAGAACTGACCATTGATGTTAGAATAAATTTCATAAGATTTTGAATTAGTCTACTCTAATTTGAAATATCATTTATCTTTTAGAATCAATTGACACCATTTTGAAATCGAACATTAGTTAGTTAAGTTTCAAAATTTGTTATTCCAGTTTGATTGTATTGATTTTCAAACTGATCATATTTTAACTGATTGATGAAAGGAAATACCTCATTTATGTTCTACTAAGTATGTCGTATTATTCATTAGTCTCTCTCATACATTTCAGCATGATAAAAATCTCATTTATTTGTATTATCATACACTAATCTTAACTGCTACATATCAAAAATCTCGTATGTGTTAATAGTAGGATGATATCAGAAATATTTTGGCCGAAAGTATTTTTTTAAGCGGAGCAAACGAACAATAAACTGTATTCATGCGATTAGAGGAAATGAACAAAGTCAGGTTAAACCACATATTGTTAAGCAATTCAAACGTATTAAAATAAAAGTGTCTGGATGGCAAATTCAAGTCACTGCTTATTATATTTGAATAACTTTGTGGCATGTGAAGTAGCTCAAGTCAACTTTGAGCAATATCTCAGTATTTTATAAACTGTACATCAAATGTCACGCAATTTCATTGGTGTCTCAACCTCTTCACCATTCTTATCAATAATGTGAAACTTGAGTTGGATGTCTAATCTGTTTAAGAAATAATTATAGCATTATAAAGTTTAATACAAATTGTCTTCTCCATAACACAGAAATCTAGATTGATTATATATAACCAGTAATAAATTGTAAATTAGTATTAGTATTATCATCTTTTTAGTTAAGTTCATGAACTGATCTTAGTTAAACAACTGGTGGAAACCACGAGGCATTGAACTGCTGTTTTGTATTAGTATGGGTTTTAGTATGGATTGAACCTAGGATTATTAGGTCTCACACGCAAACACTTAAAATGAAGACTGCTGAGCCATGGTTTACATGTTCTATCAATTTTTAATAACATGCAACCATCTTCCAATACACTTGGTGAGCTTGATGATGATGATGATCTTAGTTAAACTAGTATCAGTTCATAATGTTTGTTTACTGAATTCAGAAAATCTCTATAAGCTCTATTTAATAATTATTCCTATTCCTATTATTATTATTATTATTATTATTATTATTATTATTATTGTCCCAGTTAACCAATCAACATTTTTCCCATTGTGCATTTCATGAATATAATTTATTTCATAATGCTGACAGTAATTCGACACGTAGAAAAGAATTTTCATATCCATTCCTAAATGACCATCAAAATTTACTGATGAAATGTTTGGATGTCAGGCATAAAAAAGTTGACTTCCTCTTTACATAGAACATTATCTTTTTCATTTGTTTAAAAAAATTTCTGATGTTGTCCATTGCTAATAAAATAGTAATGATGAATTTCTAACTTTAATAATAATTAATGTAGTTATTGAAAAAAAATTTTTTATTTAAAATAATTCAAATTTTTCAACACCATAACCAAGAGTTTCAAACGATCTATCATTTGTGGAAAGTTTTTTATTGAGAAAAGTATTTTTAAGCATTAGATTTTGTATACTGGTTTTGTATCTGATAACTTATTTTCTACACATAAAACTTACGTATCATTTTGAGCAAATTTATTAGTCAATCTGACATCTTTACATGTTCGTGCTGGATTTTGTGGACTTAAACCAGTTGCATAACGTCTTGAACGTACTTTCTTATTCAGTGCATCGACACGTCCAAATATATTTTGATTTATTTGTTCAAGTGTTTCTTCTACAAAAAAAATGGAACAATTTGTATGTTAATTGTTTTTGGAATTTATAAAGTATAATCATACCATTCATACAACTCAAATATATATGAACAGTTAATTTTAATAATTTTACTCTAATAAACCCATGAAATATAAATTGACAAATGAACTTCTAAAATCGAGATCTCATAAACATTTTATCTGGTAAAAAAATTGATCTTTCGAAATAAAAGAAATTTAGTCAGTTGATAAAAAGTATAAAAGATTAAAATAGTTTATCTTTACCGGTTTGTATTATAGCTGATCTTTTATATCTCATTCGTAAATTTTCTCCATTATTGGTTATTTTTACTTGACCTTGTGGGCCTTGTTTACCCATTGGTCCAGGATCACCTTGATGACCTTGCTCTCCTCGAGGACCTGGTTAAGTAAAAATATGAAATACTAATAATATTATTACTATGTTGATGATATTTCGTTAATGCTAGGCAATAATATTGCTAGTAACTTTGATAGTGATAAAATTATCTATAGGAGAAATTTTAATGAGATCTTAGAGATTAGATTAGAATAAATAAATGGAGTTTACTCAATGAAACATTAAAAAATAAAGAATGGTTCGGTGAAGAGTTTTGTTTTAGCAGCAACTTTTAGGCTAGTTTTCTCATGCTGATCAATGTTCCACAACAATATAAATGGTAAATTATCGCATTTGACTAAATCCATATGTTTTTATTGATTTACCGGTTCATATGGAACTAAGTGTATGAGTTGTTCAATGCGGATTTTATCCAGTAGAATTCAAGAACATTATCCAGATTGATTGAAAAGAGATGGACACTGCTCAACAAGGATCCTAATAATCGAACAACTTGTGAACACAGGTCATTCGATTAAAACGTATTCTGCGTCCAAACTCATCCACAAGGTGTATAGAAAACTCCTAAAGGCAGTTAACTGTTGTCTTCCTGGCATTGCCGAAGCACCTGCCAGACGTAGGGAAAAACCAAAGTTGTGTGCATAGAGGAAACTGGTATAACCACCTTTCCTACTGTGGTCTTAATCTCATGTAAAATTTAATTTGGTTTTTTGTTTTCTCTCACAACCACCTTCATCTTTTCTATCTGCTTCTCTATGGACTTTGGTGTCTGTTTTTTTGTGACCCTCCTTTATTACAGTTCATCTTCGATTTGAACATTTTATCTTATCACACTGAACCACCCTTTTTGTGATTGTAATTTCTTTATCAATGATCTTGATGAATAAATAGTCAAGCTCTCATAAAACAAAAAACAAAATTGTGCTCAATTCTTTTAATCCAAATAACATTTGATATCTTAATTTGAATTTGTTGCACTACTACTATGTTGAATAAAATTTTTTTATGATTACTATTATTGTAATTATCATTATGTGAAACAATGTATACATTTACTATTGTACAGCTTTGAAAATGAATTTGCCTGAAAAGAGTACTCTTTGCTAAACCAGTCTTTCTTGTTTTATCGAGTAAATTAGCAACCTATTAATTATAAATACATTCAAGAGCATTCACAGTAAAATGATTCATTTATAGGATAAAAAATCAGTCTACATGCATTATACGATTAAAATAAAATGTATAGAAAAATAATTTATTGGTCGTACAGTTTGATCGATCTAAGCAACGATTAATAAATTATCTTACAATACCTTTCACTACTATAGTATAGGAACTGAAAAAAAATTCACAGTTGCTTTGTTATAGGTTTCATCATTGTTTGATCCCGGGTTTCATAATTAGTGCGGTAAACTTTAGAATCTTTTAACAAAGAAGTACCAGACAAAATACTTGCCTTGTAAGCCAGGTGGGCCAGCAGGGCCTATTGGACCTGGAGGCCCAGGTTCTCCTTCATCGCCATTAGGCCCTCGAGGACCAGGAGGTCCCTGATCTCCATGTCCACCCATTTCACCTTGTTTTCCAGTCGGTCCAGGGTCTCCTATGCTACCCTGCTCTCCTTTAAGTCCAGTTGGTCCTACTGTTCCAGGATTACCTCCTACACCTTTTGGACCAGACTCTCCTTTCGGACCAATTGAACCTGGCGAACCCTTTAACGGTAAATGAAAAAGCAGAAAAGAACGATGTTATAGCAAAGAGCGAAAGGAAGATTGTTTCAGTCTTTGATAAGAAAAACGGATACTTACCGGTTTGCCTGTATTGCCTTTCGGTCCAGATTCTCCTGGCGGACCTTGAAGACCCTGAAATTACAAAACAAGTAGAATATTTATCCGCTGGATGAGGTCAAGATAAAATATCTTCTGAATTTAGAAAAATCAACCTACTTGCTCTCCTTCAGGCCCCTGAGGACCGACTTGTCCTTCAGCTCCCATGATTCCGGGTGGTCCCCGCTCACCAGGCGCTCCCATTGGTCCAGCAGCACCACGATCTCCCGGATCTCCCGAAGGGCCAGTATCACCCGCGGTTCCAGGAGGACCTTGGACACCAGGAACGCCCACCGTTCCGGGAGGTCCTGGCGGCCCGTCATCACCAAACATTCCTTCTAGGCCAATACCTCCCCGGACTCCATCTTTTCCAGGTAAACCTGCGGCACCAGGCTCACCCGGCAGTCCTGGGGCACCAATTGGACCCATTGGCCCTTGTGCTCCCTGAAATATAATGGAATATACAATTTAAAATTGTGTTAAATATGGTTAAATAATTTGGCGATATTTTATTTACCTGTGATAATAAAAATAATGTAAATAGCGACGTTTATTCTTTCAACTAAATGGATGGTTATCAAGTGTAGTTCATAAAAATATGTCTCTTACCTGAACCCCTGGCTCCCCAACTATTCCCGGCGGTCCTGCAGAACCAGGCTGACCTTGTCGTCCAGGTCTACCAAGCATCCCTTTCATTCCTTTTGGTCCAGATGGCCCCACAGTACCTTGAGCCCCCTGTTCACCCCGTGGACCCGGCTTTCCTTGTTCTCCTTTCAATCCAGATAATCCTGGAGGACCAGGTACACCAGGTATTCCCATTTTTCCCGAAGCGCCAGCCAAACCAACAGGTCCGGGAAATCCGAGTGGGCCTTCTTTGCCGATCACTCCTTTAATACCAGGTTCCCCACGTGGACCACTTCGACCAGGTGAGCCCTTAGATGAATTACAAAGAAGGTAGGAATAGTTCAAAAAATTTTTCTTTCGTGGATTTTATTCATAACTTATTCATTTATATGTAAAATCTGCTGACAGTTCGACAGATATTTATGACTTTTTATACAACGAGTTGAATGACTTAAATTTACTAATCTTTTAGCAAATTTTATGGTGTTAACGTACTCCATATCGAGACTGAACGACTTATTAGATAACTTTGGAACAGCTGTACACCTCGCTAGCTGAATAACAAAGGTAAAACTAAACTCAGTAAAAAATGTTTATATATTTTATTGGAATCATGAACCGTTCATTCGTATTTCACCTTTGGAAACCTGAAAGCACTAGACGGCCGTTTTGTCGCAGTATGTGACTAGTCAGCAGTGCACATCTACGACGCTGCAAGCGGGAATCGAACCACGGATCTTCAGTCCCGCATGAAAATTTGTATAAGCTGATAAATTATTCCACATAGTCATCAATTTGCTACTATGTACAGTAGTAGTATGTCAAAAAGCATGATCTTAGAATGATATAGGGACCATTTAAGATAACCATACTGAAAATTTTATTCAAATTCAAACTCACTTGCACACCAGCAGGTCCAGGTGGTCCCGGTGGACCAACTTTACCTTCTATACCTTTCGGCCCTGTTACTCCGGCATTTCCAACCTCTCCGGGCTCTCCAACCATACCTTGAGGACCTGGAGATCCGGCTGCCCCTTGCTGTCCAGGAGAACCTTGTTCACCCTATGAGGAAAGGATTTGCAAAAAAGTGAGCGAAAAATTAACGCTTGCTGAGTAATTATTAGAAGCATTAACGAAAATTGGTACTATTGCTTATTTCAGCATTGAGCTTACCACTTCTCCTCTTTCACCCTTAGTACCTTGTGGACCTGGACTTCCTTGGTCTCCTTGTTCTCCATCAGCTCCTGTTGATCCACGTAATCCCGGTTTGCCAATTAACCCCTGAACACCTTTTTCACCTGTTTCGCCGACTGGGCCTGGAGGACCTCGCGCACCCTTGTCACTAGTTGAGATTTAAGAAGGTAGCAAAAACGAGTCAGATACACTGATGAAAACATATAAGTCTAAGTCTTAAGCCACCTAATGAAACTTTCAATCCACGTACCCAGGTTCACCTTGACTTCCAGGCAATCCTTGTGGTCCAACTGTTCCTATTGGACCAGGTGGTCCATGTGGCCCAGGAGGGCCTCTGTCACCTTTGTCACCAATGTTTCCATGCGGACCAGTGCGACCTTCATCTCCTTTAGAACCTGGATCTCCTGATGGACCTGGCGGTCCACGTGTTCCTCGTAATCCAACTGGACCGCTTGGACCAGATGGCCCTGCGGCACCCTTAGCTCCTTTTTCACCCTAGAATACAATAACCAAAATTTAGTAAAAATACATTGATACACGTGTTTTTTATCATATTCTGTTCACACACTAATAATCTTAATAGGAAATAAGTCATTAGTACTTTTATCATGTTTCAAACCTGGATCGAACATAAAACAATAAAAATGCCATGATTAATGCAACGATTCTACTCACTATCTAAAAGTAACTGAATGGTTGCAATACTTAAGTGGATAATGTTTATCAGATCTAGAAATAACTAGTCATTAATATCTGGCATAGGAATCATGTTTTAGGCGAGCCTTTTACAGCAAAATATAAACATTCTGGAGTCGAACCAACTACTTCGTTGTTTTGAAGATAAAACCGAGAACATGAGAATATTGATTGGATGACCAATTCGTCCTAGTTTGAAACACCCGACTGTGAGCACATATGATCTCGATAGGAATTGAACCTAGAACATCTAGGTCTCTCGCCAAACATGTAATTTTGAGTTAATGATCGGATATCCAATGGTATGATTTTGTAGTTTCAAATAAATCGCAATTTATTAAGACTTTTTCCATACATTTTACTGAAACTTCGCAGGAAAGATGTTTAACACAACAATACATTAATCACTGTCACCGTTCTTTTCCGAATTCACTAACCTTACATGTATTTTTATAGAGTCATTTTATCCAAAAGAAATCTTAGAAGATTTTTAATCTTTAAAAATAGAGTACTGTGTGATTGGTAATGTTCAGTCTATGCACAAAACTATATCATTGCTTAAGACTAAAATATTGATTAATTAAAATTTTCAAGCTAATCCAAGATTTATTTATCTTAGCTAAAAATTAATATTTTGAGTAAATCTTGTGTTTTAATTGGAATTTCCTATAACTCACCTGTACTCCCTCGATACCCTCTACCCCAGGCTTGCCTGGAATTCCTTGAGGACCACGTGGTCCTGGTGGACCACGTTCTCCTGGTGCTCCCTGCTCCCCATTTTGACCAGGTACACCAACCATACCTATCGGTCCAATTTCACCAGGTATTCCGGGTTCACCAGGTTCACCTCGATCTCCTAAAAGCCCAACTGGTCCTGGTCGACCGGGTAAACCCTTGATTGAAAAAAACATCAAATTATTATATAGTTAGGAACGAAATTCGCATTTTGTAAATGCCTGATACAGATTTCCTAAGAGCACTTGTTACATATTATATTAAGCTCTGTGTTGAATTCGATCAACGTAAATGAAGTTTCTTTTCTTTCCTGAAAATCCTCGACATCTTTAGAAAGAGATGGTAGAATCAAATTCATGTTATTGAATAAGAAGGAGTTCTGGTGATTTAAACCTATAAGTCATTTCTATTTAAATATAATACTTTACGTTTAATCATAAACAGATACTTACCGGAGGACCTGGAACCCCCACAAATCCAGGAGGACCCCTCGGACCTTGAGGACCAGCAGCTCCAGGAGGCCCTGTTGGTCCTGTTGGTCCTTCGTCGCCCTTGAATCCGACTGGTCCAGATTGACCCGGGGCACCACGTGGACCAGGTGCTCCGCGCGGCCCAACAGGTCCGCTCAAACCTAACGATCCTACATGACCTGGGTTGCCTTTTTCTCCCGGACTACCAATTGCACCTACGGGCCCAACAGACCCCTTGGGACCTGGGCCTCCAGGGTACCCTGGACTTCCCCGAGGACCTTCGTTCCCCTAATAAGATAGGAAAATCAAAATAGCAGGTAATTTTAAATAAATTAAATATTTTGTTTCCACAAAATTGTCAACAATGGTAGTTTGAATTTCGCACGGCTATTAGGAAAACAAACTATATGAATTCTGTCAATTAACACAGATATTTTCAATGTAGTGATAAGAACCAAATATTGATAAGTTTACCTAAAATGATAAGAACAATAACTTTGTTCAGTGTTATATGTTTCGTACGTTATGAAATTCTTAGCACTGAATATTTCACCAAGTTTCCTTTACAAAACAATTTGGAATAGGCAGTTGAAAGTAAGCAATTCAAAAAACGAGATTTTTTAAAAATTCATTATTTCAACAGCAAATTACAAGCTATTGAGATACCTGGAATTATACGTTTTTTTAAGCCTTGTGAAGCAATAGCTCGTAAGCTTTTCATAAATGCTCCCGAATGGATTATGTGATTAACAGAAATAATTGACGTGCAAAAGTCAAATAAGGTAACTTGTCCAAAATATTTTGATGTTAGTAAACAAGTAGCTCAGATATTCAAGTAGGCTGCTAGTATTTTGAATAGATCACTCAGTAAACTTTCCCATTTAATTACAGAAATGTAAGCTGAGAATTCTGAAAACAACGAAACTGTCAATAAAAATTCTTCCCTAAAATCTCCAAACATGCTGACTAATTGCAATACACACATTGACAGGTAAATTGAGTAAGTAGTAAAAGCACGTATTAATGCCTAATCATTAGTACTACAGAATTTATTTCAGCTTAATCAGTACAATGACCACCTTTTTGGTCAAAACGCTGATTGATGCGAACTTAATTCTCTTAGGAAATGTCAGTTCTTTAAATATAGTATTGATGATTACTAACTAGCATACAACCTACCCCACGGATTTTTAATGAATTTCTTCAACCACATAAAGAGTATGATACAAACATTTGGTGTAGCTTACCGAAATAACGTCAGCAAAATATCTTATAAAATAAGCGCAGTCCACGCATTGCACGTGACTGAGAACAGAACAAATGTATTCTCATATAAGTGAACTCGTCTGTTTGTCCAATGAAGTTAATTTTTTAAAATAGTGTTACAGTTAACAATAATCATTTACTTTCTGGCCTTCCAATCCGCGAGGACCGAGTTCACCTATTATGCCTGGTTCACCCTTAATTCCAACTGGACCTTCACTGCCACGTGGTCCAGGAAGACCACGTTCACCTTTCGAACCTTTTTCACCTCTGTCCCCACGAACACCAGTTAAACCAGCTGCTCCCTGAGTTCCTTTAACTCCAGGTGAACCACGAGGTCCACGATCACCTTTATATCCTGAAGCTCCAACAGGTCCAGTATCTCCAGGTTCTCCAGTTAATCCCGGCTCGCCTTTTGGACCTCCATTCCCCTTTAAAAAACAAAGTTTGCTATGACATAATATTTCATTTAAAAAAATAATCAAATTAATTAAATCTGCTTGCACAGTCAACTTATATGAATGAACATGGTTTACTAGCAATTTAAGGTTGAGAATAATATATATAAGCTAGCAATATTGTTTTCTTTAGATCTTCAGTAGGATTTACGGTAATATGTAGTAATATTTATATGCATACTAGAAATTATTAGATCGATCAAAGCAAGTTCATATTTGCATATAAATATTTTTGTATATTACAGCAAGGCCTGGTGAATATCTAACCGAATATATATATATATATATATATATATATATATATATATATATAGCTCTAGTTCACAATATGGGAATTTTCATTAAATTCTAAGTTAACTTCAAAGGAAAAACGTTTTTCATCTACTCTTTTACAGACAGACTGTTGATAAGCTACTTTAGTGGGCTGCCTTATGTTCATTGTCGGGCCCACCAATTTAGTGGTTGAGATGACTCCCATATTTATGAATAATTAAATATGCTGTGAAACAGACTTAGACTAATCAAAATTGAGTCAAAATATCAGTAGCACAGGATAATCCAAACAAAATTACCAGATTAAATGAACAAGTTTTTATTTGGCTTTATATTTTTTTGGGATGGGGATATTCGGTATGGTGTTGTGGTGGCAAGCTAAGTCTTTGATTAATAGGTTGAACCATGATCTCAAGCTTTATGTATTTGAAGATTATTGTGTGTTATCATATTGAGTGAGATATTTATAAACAGGTGAAATTGTTGAAAACAATGTGCAATTTTGAGTAGAATATAGGAGAACGTAGGTAAGCGAACATCCTTACATTCAATGTAATTAACCAAACAGGATAAAAAAATTTGTGATTGTTCAATTTATGCGCTATTTTGAAGACTGAATTTTGGATAGTCTGATTCAGGATATCATGTTTATGATGAGATTTCCCATTTTGTCTGATTCGATTGGTGATATCATTGTAGATCATCTAGAGAATTTCGGACTAGTCCGAAAAGTATGCCATATAGTGATGGTCAGTATATGACCATATGATATATATGGTCATTAGCATCATCAGTATATATGATTCTCTGTAATTCACCACATGTGATGACTAAGTTACCGATTATTCATTGAGAAAGCTTTGTAGCCTCTACTGTCTGTATTTATTCAATTTCTAAATTCATTAGTCCAATTTACCTGCTTCCATGAATGTCTGACATTTATATGTCTCAAATATATTGGACATTTTAATCTTACGGTGTATTAACAGAACATGTGTGTAGTGAAGTAGGATATGTATTTTATTATTACCGACCTATCATAACAAGGAAAACAGCAGAAATAAAAAGTTCTAACTTAAATAGTCTTCCATCATATGTTTTTCATTCTCTCTAATCTATACTAATATACATACTTGAAAATAAACGACAATGAATTGTTGAAGAGCCTTCATTTGACATCGCTTAAAATCTATGAACACATACCTGTGGTCCAGGATTTCCAGTCATTCCAGGGCTACCTGGTAGTCCAGTTACACCAGGTGGTCCTCTTGCTCCAGGCTTTCCAGTTAGCCCACGTATACCTTGAGGTCCAGGTACTCCCGGTGGACCTACAGGACCTTGAGGACCAGGTGGACCCATTTCACCTGAGTCCCCAAATTCACCTTTAAGTCCGTTTGGTCCAATTCGTCCGGGTAATCCTCGTAAACCAGCTGTTCCAACTGGTCCCGTAGGACCCTAAAGAATAGATATATGCGAAAAGTAGCTTGTTAAATGTAGTTTAAATCATTTATTAGTACCATTTTACGTAAAATTGAAACCTCCCTAAGTTTGAAGGAGAACTTCAAACTGGAACTGGCTTTGACTTTAAATCCAAATTGTAAGAAAATAATAATTATCAGATAAACTTCAATTACTGCTTGATTGATAGGTCATCATGTTGCGACAGACTGGAAGTTCTTACTTCAATGTATCGGTAATTGTCCCCTAATTTTCTGAAGTGACGAGTTAAATAAGGTTGCGATGCAGACTACACATATGTTGATAGTCTATTGTTCTTATGGCAAGTGAAACAGTATTAGAAATAGTTGTAATTAGTTTTGAAAGGATTACTTATGTACTTTTTGACAGAGCATATTTAATGAACGATTTCGGTTTTTCTACTTTTAATGAAACGTTATAGTATTCCATAAGCTTTACTGTTCAAACAAGATGTTATTAAGTTAAGTATGAAGAAATTCTTCAAGTCAATTAAATCCTCATCTTTACTGGATGAGAGGGTAAAATAGGAATTAAGAAGAAATTTCTAAAAGATTAACATTAGAGTCGACTTAAGTTCCGAAAATAAGATTCTTCATAATTCTCTGTTAGATTTGTTATCTTTGTGCTCGATGATCGAGGAGTGATGAATTAAGTAGTAATTACAATACAAATGTTCATAAATATGTACTTTCAGTAACTGAGTTAATTAGCCTACACAATAATAACAGACAATCGAAGTGTAATAAAATTGAGTAGACAGCTAGGCTGAAATCAAATTATTACTGAAATAACATTAGAATGAGACCTGTTTTATATGAATAGATACAGAGTCATTAAGAATCACAAGCAATTGAATTAGAATAGAAATAATATTGGCAACAGAATATCCAGCAGTTGTATTGTAGTGAAATAAATCCAGGGCTATATTAGACCTGTTTAATTTGCATTGCATTCAAATGAATTCAATCAGTTCAGAGTGTCTGTTAATCAGTGTGTATCAAGTCTTAATGATAACAATAGTAATGGGATATACTTAACAGCTAAACAGATAGATAGGCAACCAAACAGGAATATTGGTAGGATTATTCAATTAACTGACGACAAGTTAATCAATAGAAATGAATTAATGCTTTTGACAATCACATGCTCAATCAGTTATCGTATTCAAAAATCAGTAAACAGTTATTTGCATTTAACATGTCTACATTAAAAACCAAAACCTCTTAAAGTTTGTTATGGTCATAAGACATCAGACCATTTATGAACACTCACCTGAAGTCCAACTGAACCAGGCTCTCCAGGAGGACCTACTTCACCATCTCGTCCATAAGGACCAGGTGGCCCTCTCAGTCCAACATCTCCTTTAATGCCATTTGGTCCAATTTCTCCTTTATGACCTCTGTGACCAGGTAAACCCGGTAATCCCGGCAGACCAGGTAATCCTTTGGGACCTGCCAACCCACTTGCTCCCGTCTCACCATCAACACCTGGTCTACCCTGTATAAAATGAAAAACGCAAACGATTTTCAGTGCAAATATAATTGCAATTTAACCAGGAAGATATCGATTGACAAACAAAGTTTAATATTTTGTGAACAGTATGTTTATTTCGCCTATTTTATACACCTTACGACAATATGGAAGTTAACATGTAATGCCCATTTACTGAAAACAAATGATTAAACTAAACTCAATAGCTTAGTGGATAGCGCATTGGGCAGACAGAGCTGGTCGCCTTCAGTTAAGAATAATTCTGGGATACAAGTAAACCCAGCTGACGAAAAAGAGAGTCCTCGAATCCACTGCTAGTTATAATCCACTTATTCTACAGGTTTAGTTCAAAATTGATCGAGATCCAAATGTTCCATGTGTGAAATCAGCCAGTTTCAAGATATATGTCGGTTTAGGATGTATTCATTTATTTCAGTGATAATAGGATTTGTTGTAAGTTATCAATTATTAGTAATAGAAATCAACCTACTGATAAAAATAAATTTTCTTGCTGGTTCTAAGCTGGAACTGAATACTTTCCATCAAAAACGTAAATGCATATTTTTTAGAATCAGCCTCATGGAAAAAGATATTACGAAGAAAAGAAGTCCTGTCCCTAGCGGATGAAATGCATGCATCGATTATCACTTTGACTGAAGTGGAAACATTTGATCATGTTCCTCGTACTACGTACTGAAATCAAGCAGTGTTGATACTAGTATTTTCATTCTAATTCAACCTATACATATTGCCACACACTATTGATTTATCGTAAATATCCAATAAAAAATGAAGAACTTTTCTCTACTTCATGTTAAAAATGAAATAATTAATTCAAGGTCTAAAAGATCGAGCCATCGGAATCAACAAGAGGAAGCCTTGCATACGTCTAAAAAGATAATTTCGACTTGCTTCCGTCATCTACATATTATGAACTCTAATCACAATTTCACTTGCGTTTATCTCCACCCCAGAACCGTCTAACTCGCTTTGAATAGTTCAAATCTCACATTCAACTGTTTAATTTACATGATTTGTTAGTTACAACTGTTATAATAATCCCAAAAGAACATTTTTTTCGATTTTATTACTGTACTCATGAATTCTTTGTTTCATTCCTACTTCTTCTTATTCAACTTTGCAACTTTTCTGAGTAGTCTACAATCGAATTGGAATCTACTCTTTTCCGCACATAACATTAACTAATTTAACGCAAGTACTAACTACGCAACTCAAGGGTTTTGGGTTCGATTACTAGCATGGTCATAAGTGAGTAGTTCTGTAAAACCCCAAACTAAAAAGTGACAATTGTCAAATACTTTAATGATTGCATGACTGAAATTTTTCTTGAAATGGAATTATAGAATTCCGGATTAATCAGAGAACGGTAATCCATTTTATATGGAATACTATTTCATAATGACTTGTAACTGAGGTCTGATTGTATGACCTTTATATAAGGCACTAGCCATGAGCTTCATTGTTGAAATATCTGTATGAAAGGATTCTATTTTACTGAGAAGGTATTTTGCATTACGCACTGATATACAGTTTGGAAAATCATTAAAATCAATATTCAGTGCATGACTGTATAGTTAAAACTCTTCAGCGATTTGTGAATGCAACGCTAATTGGTATCTCAAAAAGATTGGTCAATAAGAATGCCGGTTGTAATTTTCCGTTTTGCATTTAATATTTAGTTTACAGGCTAGCATTCTAAGTTTTGAACAGTTATTCGATTAGGCTAGGATAGTCTAACCTTAAGTTGAGTCAGGTATAATCTTAATTCCTAGTGAACTGTCGATATCCAAACCCTCTGTCCCTAGTTTCGATTCCGATTAAAGAACATAGAAGGAAAAATTCTATTACTATATTTTTCTTGTCCCCCAGTATTTATATTGAATTAATTATCTAACATCAAGTAAAAAATTATTCCTTAGAAACAATCAAGGAATGGAGAAAAATGGTACACAATAATTTAACAGTAATTAAGAAGTAATAAATTGTATAGTAAAAGTTGATTTCTCAAAAGCTCACTACAACAAGAACACAGAAATTCTGGTGGTGTTTCGTTCTCTGAGAACGAAACACCACCACAATCATCCACCTGAGCTACAAGTTTTCTCCACCATCTCAAAATACAGGAAAATGCATAACTTCTTGACCGATGAGCTGTGGTCTAGTAGGTTACAAGTTTTCTTCTTTTTCTTTGCTAATATACTTCCACTACATTGACGTAAATTTGAAGGCACTTGAATCTTGATTGAAAATATGTTTATACATCGTTTTAAATGACTAACCATTTAGTGCTTTCAGGATAATCTGTCCTAAATTCAGTTGAATAACTGGAAACGATTTCTCTTTGACCATAAATCAATGCGATCACAAGATCTTTTTTTGGTAATGTGGAAGTCGACAAGTTGGTGATAATCGTGTGTTACTTCATCATCAATTGATGTTTAATTCAGTTTTGAAATTTCAGTCCTTTTTCTTTTGAAAACCAATCAATCAGTTAACTGATAGTCGTGTTCAAATGACGCACATTCTAGGGTGTCATTTACAACTGACTGATCACTGAATAGTGACTAACTTCATATTTTTGAAGTTCGTCTAAAAATGCTCATTGAATTCTATTGATCAAGCTCCAACTTTGTCATTATTCTATGTTACTCAACATTGTGCGTTGAATTATAAAGTACTGGTGAGAGGTAGTCCAACGAAAAAAAGTCACATCATGAATACATCAGTGCCAGTATCTCTCACTGACAGTCTGGGGGAAAAACAAGATTCAATTCTTCAACAGTGTCAGATAACACAAAACCTAGGTCAAGTGTTTCTTGTTGACTACCTCCAACTGTCACCGTAGGTCTACTACATCCTGTTTATTCATTAATCCTCTATCTGAAGAGTTATGTAAATATAGACAAAAAGGGTGCCATGAAGCTGAAAAATATACAGGCCACTAGAAAAATAAATATGACCATTAAATTATTGGTTCATCAACTTACACGCGGGCCTATAGGACCTGGAGGACCTCTTAAGCCAGTTGGACCTATAAAACCAGGCTCTCCAAAAGCACCTTGATCGCCTTTTGATCCTCTTAGTCCAGGTGGGCCTTGTATCCCTGGGAGACCAGTCATACCTTGCTGACCCCGACTTCCTTTTAGCATCATCTATGAAGTGGAAAAAGTAAAGCATTTAGATAGAAATGATTCATGAAATACTCAGAGCATATGTTTCGTGTAATTTTGGAGAATATCATTTACGGATTCTACATTTCTATTAAGCGTAACTGTTTACATAACGTCTTCTATCGAAAACGAGAGTATATCCACAGAAGCCAAACATTATGAAATTTTATTTATTGAAATTATAGCAGGAAGTATTTGCCTGACATTGTGTAGGAATATTACAGTGAGAAACATGATCAACATGTATGAATCTTCTGTAGCGTTAACAATTTTCTTGCATGAATTAAAGAACATTCAAACATCCTGAGTGCGAACTAATTTACTGGGGAATTTTCAAATCTATAGTAAACAGTTAATAAGCACGGATGTTGAATATGGTAAGTCCACTTGACTAAGCAATACGACTGATATAATTATGTTTTACAGTAACTAAAAAGAATTTTACATTACTTCATTTTCAACCTTATAATTAGTGTTTACCTGCCTGCATTTGACTTGCCCTTGCAACTGGTTACATTTGTCTTTAACGAACGATCTTGAAATTGATGTAGATCTAGTCATAATCGTTTGATCCATTGTGGCCCAACAGTGAAAATCCATTCTCACTGAATATATTATTTACCTTATTGGAATTTTTCACTTCACTTTTTTTTAACAAACATAGTTTTTTTATTGATCTTGGACTGCTTCTATTTGATGAATTCCTTAGCAGAAAGTCCCTCAGTTGGAGGTTGTCGAATGCACTAATTTATTGATTCTAAATTTATAGTACCACTCTTGTTTAACATCTGAAGAGATTGTAAGTTATTTATCACTGATGTATTAGAGCAAAAAATCAAACTATAATCAAAAATGACGCAAACATTTGCACAAACAGGCACCAGAATATATATATATATATATGCCAAAAAATATAAATATGGTTATGAGTTACATAGAAAGAATGGTGAGTATAATAAACAAAACAGAGAAATGATAATCATAGGAGCACTTCAGTCAAGGAAAACCTAACTAAAAAGTATTATTTATTTAGAAATATTGTCCTCATTTATACGAACAAAGTCTAAAGGAAATTACAGCAGGACCACCATTAGCTTTTATTCTAGGCCATGCCTAGTAACGTCTAAAGCCACCATCCCTAGGATCCTATACAAGGACTTTTGAAAGATCAATATATGCCAGTCCTGTACAGCTTTCTTTTATACAAAGACACCATGTCATAAATTGACCACCTCTCCACATTTTTCAACAAGTCGCAGGCTTCGGACAACATTTGAAGTACATGTCCAAGCGACCGACGTTGATGTTTCAAGTTTGCGAAGAATCGCCGCTGTACTCGTACTCACGTTGTCAATCTTTCGTAGTACTAACATAGTGTTGCCACTGAATGTAGGAGAAAACGATGATAAAACATAAAGGGTCGCATAACATCGTCAACTCAGAGAGACCAGGTCTCACAAACGTAGAGGAAACTACAATTACCGATGCATTGCAAGCCCATGTTTTGCAGACAGACTAACATCACAAAGATGCCAAAGATGATCTAGATTAGCATAATTTTTTCAGCCTACGACTGTACGTGAATTCTTCCCATCACTCACGTCACCATCATTACTTTCAAAGCTACCCAGATACATGAGCTTTCCGACCACTTCGGTCTACTGATGCCAGGATTGAGAGAACGTTCAGGGTTCTGCCAGTTTTATGAAAGTATATCGTGTATTAATTACAGAAAGAACTAAATTATATGTCATCAATGTTTATTGCTTCGTATAGTATAATAACACTCATTTGGTGCAGATATGTTGCAAGCAGCTAATGAGAAACCATGAAATACAATGAATACATATTACACTGCCTCAGTCGTTTTTCTGGTTTTGTTTAGTCTAATACAAGTAAATTATACTTTGGAGATACAAAGCACGTACTATACCGATAGACACTGACTTTAGACTGATTAAAGTGTAGATTGCATGGCTTGGGTATCACTATGCAGTAAAAAAATTATCTTATGGTCAAAAGTTTTTCTCTAACTAACAGATTCATACACTATTTTACCTACATCCATCAGAGCAGTCTCTAGAGTGTTATCGAAGGTCAAGTTAGAGAGTTGTGCTGAGACTTAGCAACGTCGCCTAATCCCGCACCTCGAATGAAACAAAGAATAGATTCATACGCCATTCTATCCATCAGGATCCTCGAGTTTATGTGCACTATTGTTTAGGAATCAGAGATTTCCAACTCACCTAGGTAAATCCTCTGTATCTTCTGTATCTCGGGTAGGGGAGGAGAAGTTTGCTTTTCCTCCATCCAATTTCATAAACAACCCTTACACCACTAGAGGGCAGTAAACAGGGCTTTCTGGGCAGTAGCATTGTACATATTTTCGTATGATAGCATTTCAAGAGGAAGAACAATAGTTACTACAACTTCTATGAGTAAATCTGGGCTTATTTCATTATAACTGAGTTAATGTACGACCGAGAAATTCATCGTTAAAATAAAAATATAATGTGGCTTGAAATGAATCAAAAAAGTTTCCACTATTTAAGATTAAAATTAGTAAATTTTAAGTGATTCATAAAATCATGAACCTAAGTGAATACAATTTGAACCTCAATAAATTGTTAACTGCACATAATTATACTCTGATATTAATGGCATAAATGTCGATGTATTCATATTACTAAATGAATCAAGTATTTTAATAAAGGTCCCTAAAGAGTATATAAAATAAATGGAATATAGCTAACAGTGCTATTCAGGAAATGTGAGTTTCATACCATTTTTGTACTCGTCCGTAGGATTTATGTGTATCTTAGAGTTGCTGTTGACTACTATTTCTTATAAATTAATGTCAGAATGTCTATGTCAAGGTAATTTGCATAGAATGTTCATAAACGGGATCAACCAAACCATTACAAAGTCAGTTAGTAGGTTGAATCGATTAATTTTTCAGTTTTGCGACTGCTATCTGAACACTTTTCAAAGTAAATTGTTTATTCTAGTTAAAAAATATCCACAAACCAGTTTAATCATGGACTTTTGGACAGTTGAGATGTATGGACGGAAATCTGTAGATGATTACTAATTTTGTAGTCATCGTATACATGTATTTTTGACTATCTAATGCACAACAGCATGAAACTTTATTGATTCAAAACTTGATAACTTATACCAGGAAAAGCTAGCTAGCTAGTTAGTCTAAATGCAGAAAATCGTGACCACGTTCTGTTCACAAACATGATGCATTTTCGCTGGCCGAAAAATGACACTGGTGAGTTGAACTGATTGAGGTACTGATCCAATAACTTCTATAGTGTCATAATGTGAAATAAAGGTTGTTCACAGTGATATATATATATATATATATAATTTATTCATGAAAAAACAATTCTCAATTAATGTATAAAAATTTAATGTCATAAACGAAAGCTTACAACGGCTTGTTGGACGGTTGTCCTAAAACTGGCCATACGACTTAGTTCATTCTTTCCAAAACTTGGTAATGGCATCATTAATATATGACTTGGTACCCCAGGAAGTCCTGGAGCTCCAGGAATCCCACTACGACCATCTCGTCCCTTAAAGTAAAATAACGGTATATACTTTAATGAATAAGCTTTCATTTTAACAGAAAAAACTGATTTCCAGCATTTTATTCAATCAAGAACTACTCATTTAATCATTAGTAACTCCAAATGGTAACGTCCTAGAGTTATTGATGGTTTCAAGCTTGGACAAAGGAGGGTTTGATGTTAGATTAGTGACCCGATCCCATATATAAGCGACATGTTAGAAAATGCCAACCAGGAATAGTCATTTAAACTATTTAAACTCTGTCCTGGAAGTACAACGGTTTTCATTTAAAGGAATTATGACGCCTAATACTGAAAGTTGATATTCTTTAAAAGTCAAAAGGCCAATGCCCCTTCAGATAACTAGGGCAAAAATTAATAATCAATGAAATAGCCTGTAAGAAATCTGAATACTATACATTGAAAGACTGAATCTAATGAAAACTAACTTATGTAATGACAGTACAAACATGAAATGAATTAATGGATGAATTTCAGCTTGTTTTTCTGAACACAATCTTCTTTTTGATGAAGTACTTATTTTAACTACCACCAGGATATCACTATCTGAAAGATTCATAACGATTTAATGGCGCACAGAAATGGGTGGTAGAAAAGGTCGGTATGTTTTTCGAAAACAATAAAAAAATATTTATAGTTCAGTTTAAGTGGTTTTAATGTTGTACTGCTAGTGCAAAGACTAATTTCAATTGCTTAGTTTTATTTTGTTGATAAAATGTGGTGTTGAGGGATAAACAATTCATTAATTACCTTTAATTCACGTAAACATACTAAACGTTGCGGTTCTCTGATTGGTTGTTTTCGCTTTTAGCTTGTACTTTTATTATCTATTCCTAACTTCAGTTTTGTGTTAAAATTTGAACTTCAGGGCGTAGATAAGCTCACTTATCAAGAGTTGCCATCTCTTTTTACCATTGTGATGCTAAGCAGTGTATTAAGGTTGGACTATGGTCGTTATGTGACAGAAGCAATCAATAGACAAAAATTAAAAATGGCAATATCACCGAGTTTTTCCAGTCAGTTAGTATGAAAAACAAAATCTCCTTGTTAAGGTACTTCCAGTTATGCAAAGAAAATGTTATTCTCTTGAAATCAAAAGTTTTACACGTTATTGAAACATGATGTTGACATTTCTGAAGCAATAAAAGCACATTTAAAGGAGAGGTTAGTGAAATTCAAGACACGGGTTTTATCTTATTTGGGACTAGTTTGTTGGCTGTACTCGGGTCTCAGAGTTGATGTTCAGTCCAAGACTCAGACTTGGTGCCATTCGATTCAAACCTAACTACGTTATCCACTTAGCTACTGAGTTCAGATAACCATTACCTCGTGCGATAGTATGAATTTTGATTATGAATTTTCCCATTGATTGTTAGCACTCCAGGTATAAGTTCTTTTTGGCGATTCCAATGCTAACCACATCATCTGTTTGTACTTAAAAGGCTTGCGACGTAGAGGCAATATCGAGGCAATCCGTACAGGGTGCACATATGTCAAAAGCGACTGTTCAACTGTAGTATTCAACATCACTGGGAAGATTCCAACAAACAATAATTTATAACACATTTTAAAAGTCATTAGAACTATCGATAAAAAGGTATCTACTTAAAGGTAATCGAAATTGTAGAATATAACTGACTTATCAGGGGTTAATAGACTTACAGGTTGGCCTTTTTCTCCTTTAGGGCCAACTTCACCTTTTTCACCTGGTTGGCCCTAAATGAAATAATATTATAATAAATCAATAAATAAGAAGTATTTTGTTTTTAAATTTTTTGCACAAGAAAATGTAAACAGTACTTTAACTCCGCCTGATGAACCTTCGGGGCTGCCGCCGGTCCCAAGCCTGAATAAAGGAGGAGAGTTGAGATGTGGGTTGGCAGCCCCATCCCGGAAAAAACCTACTTACCAAAAAACACTAACAAGAAAAAATAATTCAAACCATATAAACTCTGCTCTGGGTGTTGGAAGGCCTTGATTTTGAAGAACTGTAAAGTCTCATGAGGCCGATGCCCCTTCTGACAACCAGAACCCTTCCACGGTGTGGGCAGCCGGAAAGTTACATCCGCTCTCATACTCATAAAAGCATACGAGGCCAAATCAAACACAATCAAATCCTTTCTACACCTCTTAATGACTCTCTTGTCTACTCAACCAACCCTTCTTTCGATCGTTTATCACCTTACGCCACTGAAGCAAATGGTATGAGCTCACGAAACATTATTCCTGGTCTCCTGAAACCCCATACTAAATCAAATATAGTAGCTTTTTATGTTCGGACCCTATTCGAAATAGGTCAACGAACTTCGTTAACTAGAAATCTGGAATCCCAGGCGATCGATGTATGTTGCTTCTCCGAAACGCGCATACAAGATCTGAGTAAAACCATCAATTTATATCACACCTAGTGCATATTGAGACACAACATGGTTTACAATTCGTGTTTCAGGTAGCTCTGATGCTGCCTCCTGTTGCTATTGATTGATCGATTGATTGATTAAAACATTACTTTAGAAAGATAATATCGGACAATATATTTGTTAAAGAATCCTTTCGGTTAGAAGTGAATCACTAACATATCAGTTCTTTGCAATATCTATATGTATATATGTATATGTATATGTATACTTGCTGTAATTCAAACACTCCGAATGCTAGAAACCCAAGTATATCGTAATACGGTTCACACAGATCTAATTCCCAACTACAACCCAATAACTCACAGAATCAAATGCGTAAAAACTTTATTTAAGAGAGAAAAACACACATGCATAACGAAAAAAACGAAAAATATCTGATGACTATCTTTCAGAAGAACGGCTATTCACGCAAATTTATCAAAAAATATCAACTAAAACCATCTACGGAAGTGAAATCAAGTGCAGAAACCAACAAGTGGATCATCCTACCATGTTTGAAAGCAATTGCAGCAAGATCAGAACAACCAAAAAATCCAGCTGAGAAAATGAAACTCCATCATAATCATCCACCTGAACTACAATTTTTATCAACTATCTCATTGTACTACTAAACCTTTTCAAACAACCAACAACCTCTTCATCATCCGGGAAGTGAATTTATTATGAATTCGACTAAGTCGTAATCATAACTGCAAACTACATGGTTAGGCTTCTCATTACAGTGACATAGATAGATACCGGTTTTCATGATTGAGAATCCTTCATCACTGTGAAGTTGTATTCAATCCTAATTTTATTCTAGAACCCCAGTTCTGAAACTGTTTTTCAACGTACAATATTTTCTACTACATCTGATACTCTTACTACTCTTACTACCCTGGGACTTGTTTTGAAGTAATTTATCTTATTTATAGGTTCTATGACTGACTAAAAAACTGCATAGTTGATAGAAATATCTTACTTACTTATGTTATCTTATTATTCTTCGTAGGGCATAAGCCGCAATTGTTAATAGTTTCTCTATCTAGACAATCATTGAATTTCAGAGATGAATTTCAATTAGTATCAGTTAACTTGAAGTGACGATAGCTGATATGTGATTATTTGCGTTCTAAAAGAGTTCGCTACAATTTTACAAATTATAATCTATCCAGGTTTCAATTCATAGTTAACGTTCACAATATCCAATACTTGTCAAAAAAGATTAATTCAAGTCTTGGCGACAGATCACGCAAAATACTTTTGAATATTTTGTACTTAGTGGCAAATATCGCTTGGGATATAGAACACAATTTTTTCCAGATAGGAAACTAGATAATATGGTATAATATGCTAACTTGAACAAGGCATCCCAAAACTCAAGAATGTCTGCTTTGTTTCAATTAGTAAGAGATTTTGTGCTATCGGTTCGAGTTCATGATTCACTCCAACTATGACAATAATTACACACATACGAACACAATCGGAACAAGAATGTGTGAATTGTATTCACACTATTAATGATTCAATCCGTTAAGCTATAATATATATATACATATATATATAATTTTGACTTACGAAATTTCTAGTCTGTTCATATATGTACTGTTAAGAAAACGATAAAGAAAGTTTTAAAATTTTATGTTAATAATAATTTAAAGTAGTTTTTATTTATTGCAAAAAGATTATTTATATGATTAAAATGATACAGTTAATGAAGTATAGTTGGTTTAGTGATTAATCTCAGTCTCTTCAGTATCCAGTTGAATAACAGTGTCAGCTTTGATATTTAATTTAAAGCCTATTTTCTATCGGATATCGACTTAGTTTACCTTGTCGGTCAATAGTCTTTATTAAAATGATATATTTAAACAGAACAAGACCAATAGAGGAGTGAAGTTTTCGCAAGTTCAACTACCAGCCACTTATTAGATGGTAGAAATGAAGTGAATATCCGTAACCAATTTTATTCCGTTATGCCGTTTTCAACCTGACCTATGTATACAGAGAAAAATGTGAGTAACCATTCTCTACCATGTCAGGTGTTGATTAAAATTCTCAGCCCGCCTCGTTTTGCTTCTGTTGACACTTATCGCTCAGATGACCTCATTGATGTTCAGTTATCAGTTTGATTTTCTCTCATATCTTGTTAAGTGATTATACAATGAAGCATCAATTTTATTACCCTTACGTAACCTCTCTTATCTTAATAATAATAATAAATAACAAAAACAGCACTTGTATTCTGCTTTACTGCTTTTCAACACATAAACACGTATCGATCTTAACTGCATTCTTTCATACATTTTGTGTTCTATTCTTCTTCTTCTTCTTATGACTGTTTTAGTTATGTTTCTAATATTAATGTATGATTCACAGACTAGAGTAATGTCAAAACACCTGTTTATAATTACATATGAATAATTGTAATTTTAAACTATATATAGCTGATAAGAAGTTGTAAAATGGAATGCTGAATAAATTTTATCCTAATAAGTCTTGTTGTTCTGGATCTATGTAAATGAATTCATGCAAGTAGTTGCATAAAATGGAATAATTTAAGCCAATTTCTATCCCCTATTTTTTTTCACTATCCCCATTGTATAATGCCACAACCTGACAATCCATTTTTAAACTTCATTCATCTCTAATTCTAAAATCAAATATGTGAATCCTGTTATCGGAATATTTTGCGCTAATTCTACGATACTTTTATGCTATTTATGTTCTTTATATGTGTTGATAAGATTTAGATATTCTACATATGATTCAGTTACTAAAATAACAATAGAATTCATTTTAACCTGAAATCCAAACTCTCTCGCATCTTAATACAATTGAATAGTTTAAGTTAGCTTGTAAATGAAAATATTTTAAATAGAAAAGTATTCACTAATGAGAATTAAACGTGACATTATTGTTAAACAGTGAGATTCGAAAAAAAATTTCTTGATCTATTTCTTGAAAGATATGATTTTGAACAAAACTTTGAAAAGCTTTGGATTAAAAAGCTTGCCATCGATAAGAAATTGATAATCTCTTCATTTCAATAGGGTAGCAATTAAAAACTGTTGTAATCGGTGTCAATTTCACTTTGAAGCAACATAAAATATTGTCATCGAGTTGTAAAATACTTGGAATTATTCATTTACTGAATTTTATCAACCGAAAATACAATGATTTGTAAATAATACATTTTTCATTTTTTTTTGGTTCTATTAAACAGGTCTTAATGAACTTAGAATTGAAACGATACGGTAAAGAAGTTGAATGATTTGATGATTAACTTTCAATCTATGTATCTATATATTCAATAGATCTTATAATCTATGTAGCTATGTCCAATTTCTAAATGTTAAAAATTGAGAAAATTTTCTCAGTACAACTAATGACTCATTGTGATGGTTGTATATTTTTCAATGTGTAGTTAGTAATCAAGTATTCATTGTTATTCTAAAGAAATGTGTCACCCACTTACTGGTTCCTGAAGTTGCATCTCATCGCTAATTTTGTCTGATTCACTACACACCGAATAAACATTACATTGATCATATGCTCCGCTAGGTGTTGGAACAATCAACAGTTGTTCAATTGCACCCTGGAAATTAGAAAGAAAACAAAAATAGAAAAATACTATTAAAAGCTTGATATATTAATTTGCATCAAAGGTGTTATGAAGACAACTTTTAAATTCAGAAGTAATTCCATCACGATGTGATATTAGTTATTGAATGACTAAAAAAACTGCCGTAAATAGTAGCTTTGCTCTAAATTCCAACTCTTTGCCAAATCCCTTCTAACTTCATAGTGAACTGAATTTAAGAATTCGATAGCCATATGTGACGCGCTAGATGTTCTCTAAGAGCCTATTGATGAAACAGAGCAATTTTTATCCTTTGTAATTATCATTATGCATGACTTGGTTTAATCTATCAGTGACACTTTAGTTGTATATAAATTGAGAGAGTCCCTTTTGAAATCAGTCATTAATAGGCGTGTGATCATTGTAAGTCAAAATGCTTGTGTGAAATTCCAGCACAATATTCATCACTTCATGACACTATGACCGACCCATATAAGCAAACAAAATTATTTCCAATTAGATAGTCATCAAGCTTTACTATGATATATATCTAAATATTTATATCAAATTATTAAGCCAATCAAGGCAATTAATTAGGCAATAATTACAATAAAATAGATTACATAACTACTCACAATCAGTAAAAGTACGAGTGAACAGTAGGATGACTGGTGTATTAGAAGTGGTAAGAACAACAATTTTAATCAATAATTCAACATTGGAAGTAGTAGATCGAACTTGGACAAAAAGGCTTAGAATAATAATAAAGAAGTCGTGTGAATTATGTAATAAGAAGTGCTTAAATGATAAGACAGTGAAGAATAGAAGCGGAAAGAGGCGAAATGTAAAAGACAAATACATGGTGTAAAAAATAATTATTATAAAATTTTCTATTATATCATAAACTTATTTTAAACAAATAAAGTAAGTTTGTGTTCATATCACCACTGTTATTTGTAGAAGATGGGATCGAACCACCATGCTCACTCATTCGTTGGCTAAGTTATCTGGTAGTATGCCCAATAGAACTAACTCAATTCCAGCCGAATTTTTCACTGCACACTGAGAAAGTTTCACTAGTCAACTAAAAGCAGGATTGACAGCATAAAATGTTCTACTGACTGTCCTCTCCAATCTGTCATACAGGAAATCACTGGCTGTATTGCCGTTGAGTTGTAATGTTTTAGGAATAAAGGTTTTATCCGAAAACTCCAGACAGATATCTAACATATTTTTTTCTCCAGATGCATGTATTTCTCTAAAAAAAACCTCTCTGGTAACCAACCGATTTTCACTCGATAACTGACATGCATGCATTAAAATCAGTGAAGTCTGCTTTCATAAACTTAAAAAAATACTATTGAAGAAGTTGCCGGGAAAAGTGAAATATTATCTTCGATGTTTTTCATTTTACAATATGGCGTTTATACATTTTTAGTTGTTTATTACTCTGCTTGTCATATATTGATATTTCTTCACTACTCTTAATGGACTTACTGATTGTTTTTATACTCTCAAATAACAAAAATGTGACAGTCAAATGAGTACGTGGTCCCGAAGATGAGGTCGTGGATGAAAACCACTGAGGAGCCCTGAGGATAAATAAATGTTTCGTGCTTCCAAATTTTTAAACGCTTACCTACTTTTGTTCTCTACTTTTGATCTCAACAAAAAATGTTCTAGTTATGCAAGTGTCAAAATTTTGTAAGCCATAATCTCAAAAATAATAAAGTAAGGTATTTTTGATCAACATCGCTAGCTGCTAAGTTATTAAAATGTTTTAGTTCTCTAAATGTTTAAGTTCCCAAACTAAAGTTTATAAGTAATTTTAAAACATTTGTAGCCTTTTTCGTAAATCCCAGACAAGAGAATCGAACTGAGCTTGGCACTAACGGTAGCCCGAAGTGCAGTTTCTTTTCAGTTTGATAAAAATGAAATTTTATTTGGAAATTATTAACTAGAAAAGATTACTGAATACAAATCAAATAAATCAGTCTGCTTACAGTAAAACTGGCTTGTCCTGTCCTATCTTGTAGAACATAAAGCATTCCTTGACGTAATTTCAGATTGTCAGTTAATGAACGATTCAATAATTTTGACGTTATAACTTTACAGTCAATAATTATTGTGACAGAATCACCTTTAATACTCAATGCAATTCTATGCCATCTAGAAATGAAAAATAAAATAAGGATGAAAAGTTACTGAAAAATTGTATTTAAGTAAAAAAGTAATTTCTAATTGTTTGATACAGTCACATTTGACTATTCTTACGATTTAACTGTGGTGAACTGTTGAACTTACAAAATGCAGAGAATGACCATGAAGATATTATGTTCCTTACTAGCCAATTAGTAAACTAACTGTCGAAATAAAACATCTGTCTGATTAATGAACATATGGGGCTATCATTTGCCTGTACTACTAAACCTGAAATGTATACATCAAGGCACAACGAAAGACTTCAGAAGATCTTAAGAAGACCAGGAGATTCCATCTAATTACAGTCTAACATAGTTTCTAGAATGGTAAAATGACGCACTGTGATTGAGAAATTGTATAAATTTCCTGTCCACGGATTGGGTGTATTAAAATCATGCTTATGGTTGATATGAAAACTATCAATGCACCCGTTCTTCTGTCTATTCGATACTTACTAAAGAAGAAGAACGTATGTCAGTAAGTGTAAATTATATAGAAAACCGAGTCTATTCATAGCCATGGTATTGACTGAAAACATCATTTTAATTTGCCCATCGTGAAACAGTCTCCACACTTGACGTCTGAGACCAGGGTGATCGAACATAATGCGTGAATCATCAAGTGTTCACGGAAATCGCCTTGGAGGTTTTGTCCATTCAGTCTGGAGATAACATCATGCGTCTTTCAAAGTACTATTCTTCTTGGGGGTTTCTCTGATAGCTTCAAAAGTAACCAGTGGTCCGGAAACCGCAACTGCTGACACTGTGAACTTTGGCTTTAACTTTATGACTACCATCAATATATCCTCTAGTTTTGTATCGTTATTGATCGATCTTGACAGGGTATCTGCTTGTCCAAACGTATTCTTCAGTTCGTATTTCATTTTGGAGCAATAGCCAAACGGCTCAGTTGCACAGAGTTATAGACGGTTGGTTGTTTAAACGTGAATGCCTTTCTTAGATCTGAAAATTTTGTTAATAAGTTGAATCGACGACTGGGGAGACATTTTGTGGAACTTGTGGCGTAAGCAATTACTTTCTTAGATCCATATTTCAAGCCAGTTGTTTCATTCAGTCGTTTGTAAAGTAAGTTTTTTTTCTCTTCTAAATTGTCTCTATAAGGGTGACTTATTTCTATCGGTTGAAAGTTTAGTTCACTTAGTTTTCGGTGAAATAAAAATGAACGATTAAAATAAAACGAAGAGATTATAAAATGGATTATTTTCAAATGGAATATTACATTTCTTTAAAAGAATAAATTGAATTCGTAAGTATACACTATTTCTTACAACGACAATGATGATCACTAGTATTAGTTTTCATTAGGCTATGTAAACATTATCATCATTTAGACTAAAAGCATTTTAATGCAACATTTTCGATTGACTTATCAGTTTTTATGCAATTTCTTAGTCATTGTTATATATCAAGTTGAAATAATTAACATTTTAATTGCTGAATATTTTGAAAACAAAGACTCTAAGATAGGATAAATACACAATTGTTCGTCAGTAATTACTTCGATGTAAGGTTTGTTAGCATACATAATTTTATGTAAGCCGATTACATTTAAATTATTTTTTTAAAAGTCCTTTAAGTGAACTGTGTTTCACTGTAGAGTTTTATGTAATGACGCTACTATATATGACATGCAGAATAGAATTATATACAAACATGAAAAACCTCTTGTTATGGAAAAAGAAATCACAAGTGAACATATGAGACTCTCAGAAACTTTTGTTGAACACAATTGCATAACATTTATAAAATTAGACATGAAATGAAGAATATTGGTACGTCATAGTTAACTAAATAAAGCTTAATACATTGCACAAAATGCAAAATTTATTTCGTAAATAGTTGGCTACAATCATAGGGAATGATGCTCTAATTAACTGTCCAGCCTAAGATGTTCTGAATATTCATCATTTGGATTATATGTCTAATTGAAGTATGTATGAGTAATAAGTGTAGTTATTCAAGAAATAGAATTACATATTCAACTAATCTTTATCAAATGTTGACATGATTTAGTCAAGGCTTCGGCGCGAATAAAGTGGATGATTCATAGACCTAATGACTGTTGAACTGTCTAAGTTTGTTTTTCCAATCTTCTAGTCTAAAGAACTTAATACATAAATTTTTATATCGTGTTGAAATAAAAAGTTATTCTTAAAAAAGACGTTGGTAAACACGTTTGGTTTTACTGACTTGAAATATACTAATACTTAATGCTTATGAAATTAACTACTGACAAACCTGTTAAAATTATGATGAACCGACAACACATTTTATCGCCATATAAACACTCATACTGTGAATTAAGAGGGACGGGGGAAAAGGCTGCAAGAGACGGAAACTTGAGACAATTGTACGAAGCAACAAAGAAGCTGGCCGGAAACTATCGTAAACCAGAACGACCAGTGAAAAGCATGGAGGGCAAAGTAATCAGCAACATTGAAGAACAGCGAAATAGGTGGGTAGAGCACTTTCAGGAACTCCTGAATCGACCAGCTCCACTGAACCCACCCAACATCGACGCAGCATTGACGGACCTCCCAATTAATATTGGCGCACCTACGATTAAGGAGATCAGTATGGCCATCAGAAAAATCAAGAGCGGCAAAGCAGCAGGACCAGACAACATTCCAGTAGAGGCAATGAAAGCAGATGTAGAAGCAACTGCGAAAATATTTCACATCCTCTTCCAGAAGATTTGGGATGAGGAACAAGTACCATCACAAGTACCATGCACCAACTAAATCACTCTTGATGGAGATGCCTTGGAGGACGTTAGCACCTTTACATATCTGGCAGCATCATCGACGAAAAAGGTGGATCCGATGCAGATGTAGATGTGAGAGCGCGGATCGACAAAGAAAAGGCTGCATTTTTACAATTAAACAACATCTGGATCTCAAAACAACTGTCAAGAAACACCAAAATCAGTATTTTCAATACAAATGTCAAGACAGTTCTACTGTATGGAGCGGAAACTTAGAGAACTACGAAAGCCATCGTCCAGAAGATACAAGTGTTTATTAACAGTTGTCTACGCAAAATACTTCGGATTCGTTGGCCAGACATCATCAGCAACAACGTACCGTGGGAGAAAACGAACCAGATTCAAGTGGAGGAGAAAATCAGGAAGAAGCGGTGGAAGTGGATAAGACACACACTACGAAAAGCACCTAACTGCGTCACGAGACAAGCCCTCACATGGAACCCTCAAGGCAAAAGGAAAAGAGGAAGGCCAAGGAACACATCACGCCAACAAATAGAGAAAGATATGACAGAAATGAACAAACATTGGACAGAACTAGAGAGGGAAGCCCAGGACAGAGTTGGCTGGAGAAAACTGGTGGGTGGCCTATGCTCCATTGGGGGTAACAGGCGTAAGTAAGTAAGTAATTGGTTCATATAATGAATGCCGTCAGTGTTTACAGCAGAAAAAATACATTTTGCAACTGTAGAATCCGTTAAAATAGTTTCTTTAAATTTCAAAAATAATTTTACCTGAAATCATTCAATTCAACATTAAAAAACTCCACTGTAGACGGTGAATCTCCAGATAAACGGTAATACAAAGCAATATTGTTTCCTACTGACATGGTCAGCTGACTGTTCCCTTTTTCATCTGTTATATCAAATAACTTTTGAATTTGTTCATGCTTTAATCGTACAGTGGCAAGAATAGAAAAATCCTGAGGAAATGAAGCTAAATTTTAAAAAAAATAACGAATGATTTTAGAAAAAGCATCATAAGGTCGATAGTTAATCATATTTTCCTTATACAAACCTTTTGGAACATATAAATCTCTACTATTTTTATACACACTATCAAGTCTTACATTCTTGATGTCATACAGATCATACTGACGCTTCATATTTTGTAATTTACTCGGATGATCTCATCCACTGTTTGCTCCAAACTCGAAAAAGGTAATTCTGTACAATGTTGATTGTTGATACATTATGATTTGAATGTGGAGAAATTAATTGCTGCATTTTTTTCTAGCCGTGTTGCAACTATTTAGTTTGGCTGTTTGTCAGTTAAACCTTGGTATATGTTTAGAAAATCGGAAACTTAGTGAATTCAGTCAATTTCTTATTTAGATTAATCAGAGTTGGAGATTACTCTACATTATATTTTAGTTGTATTTATACTGATATCAGAATTTAATAAACTTCAGAATTGTTCTGCACTTCTTTATTTCACCAGAAAGGAATAGTGATTCCAGGTATTTTAGGATTTAGGCTTTCATCAATCATTTCTCATTGACTTGTTAATGCTAAATATCCCTAACATTATTTTATCTGGAAATGAGCTAAGCAATTTCAATTCCCTTGTCACAGTTTCATGATTTGTTGTTAAAAGAACCTGAGTTTAATCAAAGTCCGAAGGTACTGATTACCATACAAATGAACTTTAAGTCTACATTATTGAATTCAATGACAGATCTTTAATAACAATTCTTTAAACAGGGACATAAAAAAATTGTTTAATAAATGATTGTTGTATTAGCTGAAAATATTCCCGAATACCAAATATATGTTGAATCACAAAAGAAATCGTTTGTTTATTAATAAGTAATATAATGTTCCCCAGCACTTAGTCCAGAACTATGAATCAATTTATAAGGTTATCATTAGGTAAAGTAACTCAAGTTGCCTGACCAGATAGCATAAAACCAATTACTACTGAATAACCAATAATTTTGTAAAACTATATTTTCTCTAATCGATCATCTCCTGATTTCAATATCTTACTTGTAACGTCTGTAGTGCCCGTTTAAATTCAACGAGTAATATCACTACCCTCAAAAAGTAGCTGATCGATGCTAAGAAAATGAGGTATGGGATCATGTACAGGATGTTGCTAATCATGAAGCTAGATCTTCATTCCCTTGGTATGAAATTCTTAATTCCTGAAGAGTTATCTTGCTATTAACAATTTCTGGAAATTTTCAGAGGTCTTTCCATACATTTTTTTCATACGTATGCACATTGTTGTATTGTTGATCCTGTAAGGTTTTATTTTATTTATACGTAAACATATAAGACGTACAATACGATTTATGTTCTGTTTGAGTGCATTTGTACATGTGTGAACTGCATCATTGACTAGGATTTACTGATCAAACTGCATGAAAATCCCAAAATTCTATCAAGAAGTAAGCAGTTTTATTTTCTTAATGAACTAAATACCAACAAAAACTAACTTTGAACATAAATAAAATGTAAGATAGAGAGAATAAAAGACGATTTTTAGATTTAGTGATATTTATTTAGTTCTAAGCTGTGATCGAATATATTGCTATTTTTAACATGATTTATCAAAAGCCATTAGGAGAACAATCCCATGATTTACACTTCGTTTCCAGCATATTTTTTACGTGATTTTATCTTTTTAAACCTGTTTAGTTAAAAGTTCAGCATTGATTCTGTAAGAAAATCATTAGTTCATCAATATCAGCGTCACTCACCCCTATTGATCATTACAAATTTGAATGTATTCATACAGTTACAGTGTACACTGAATTCGTTATAGCTTGAGAGAAATAGTGCTTATAAAACAAACACTACCATCTATCACATAATGAATAAGCACAACATCACTGTTATTTAAAACATCACCTGCAATTGATGAGTTTCAAATACTAAGAGAAAAAAAAACTTAATTTCGATATGAAATTGTTCATTTATCTTGTCAAACTGATTGCATAAACACTAGAAGAGATAATGTTTTTGAAAATATGTTCAAACTAAAAAAGAACTCATCAAAACACCTCATATTTCTGCACATTTCCATTTTATAAAATAGTTTTACCCACCATATTCTTTCGTGTGATTGACAATCTTAATCGTTTCAAGTGAATATATCTTCAATGTCGTCTAATGAATTACGAATGCATCCCTCATTCCGTTTTGTAATTTTTCGCAAGATTAAACTGTGGATGTCGGTATCTTTGCTGTGATATGCAGCATGTAAGAGTATTCTGTCTACACACTAGTGGAGAGATTGAAATTGAGAAAAGAGGTCTACTAACTGAACCGCATCAATTGTATATGTATTCATCTATGTATCTGTAAACATCTTATACAGTTAAGCCATCAGTGGTGTTTCTCATAATAATGACTTATTGTATATTATTTCATATGAATGATTGATCAGTTAATTTTGAATTAATTGACCTAAATTTAGTCTTTAGTTTACTCTTTGTATATAACTTGGAAAGTCAATAAATCAACTGCGAAATCACTGAATAATTTAATATTTTGTTTTATTTCAAACAGATGTAAGTAGTGTTTGTTTTGGTAAAATAATAAATTTATCAGGAATTATGTACAGACGAACTGAATTGGATAAACAGAAAAAACACTTACATGGAAACGCCTTCTCCACTGGTAACTTTAACTTATCACCTCGATGATAAGAATAAGCAGTATTTGGGTTTTCTTTTAACGATGACGAACAAAATCCATATTGGCGTGTAACTTCATGACTATCCAGTTTGTCAATTTCAACAAGTTGTAGCAGATCGATTATATCTGTAAAATTATCGAATAAATATAGTTAATTGGCTGGTTTCGAAGAAGTGATCGTGTGAGCAGTGCCCAAATTAAGGAGAGTTCTATGAAGAAATAGCAATTTGACTGATGTGGTAGCGAGCGTTTATCAACTAAGGTGGTTGGAACAAGTGTTATGTATGCTCAATCACCACCTACCTTGATGAGTTACTTTTCTAATGTTCGCTAGAAGGAAGCTATGAGTAACTAAAACTAAGGATGCTACAAGTTAATGAAGCTAGTGACAAATGTACTGTCTCGACAACAGGTGTAGAATACTTGGTTGTGGACCACACCATTTTCATAACTGATGGCTAGAAACATTGGATGACATCGCTAAAAAACTGTTTACAATAGGACAGGTGCCTCTACACCTACTTTGCCTTTCCCTTCAGATTTTAAACTTCTGAATTCCCTGTAATGTTTCCTGATATTTCCAATTTTTATATTCTCAAATCTTTTCTCCGATATCTAATCTTTTTTTTGTCTACCCATAATGCTAATACCTTTAGTACTGTGGAATTCGTCCTGACAATTTCACCTTGACATACTAATGAAATATGCCGACTTGAACTTATTTACCATCCGTAAACCATTCTACGTTGACTGATTGGTGAATTTTTCAGATAGAAATAGTCATTTATACTTTGTTATAAAAACAATTGTTCATAATTAGAATTATCATACAAATGAAAGTTTATATATCAAATTAGTGAGACAGTATTCGAAAAAATCAGAATTATGCTGGCATAGGTATATTCTTTGCTTGTACTTTAAGTATACGTTATTACTTTAATATCCAATCAGCTCCCTTTTTTGCAATACCTGATTGATATTGACTTCAGTCAACTCAGTTCTATTTATTAATTATCTGTTGAAAAGATTCTCTATAGTATAATCAAGATATTTATAGTTGAATAAACAAAAGACACCATATCACGATTTGTTATTAGCAGAAGATTTATGATAAGATGTTGAATAAAATGCCATTTTATGATATTGATCAAATGATCATTTTACTAGACCAATAAACTAGGCATAATTCTTTATTTACACTTTAAATTTTAATTGGAAACTGACTCTTAATAAGAAGTTTGAACTAATTTATAGATATGTTCTTCAATAAATGTTAACTAAGGGAAATCTGGATGACAGTCTCAAAAGTTACACTCCCATCATATTCTTGCCTTTATATCAGATCTCCTGTGTTTAATCATCCGTGAGTACTACTGTGGAATAAGGGAACTGCTTAGTTCTTAATAGTTCGTATGTAATGTTCATTTGTAATGATAACTATTTTTTTTCTGCTACTAGTATCCATCAAAGTCAAATGAACTGTTGTTTCCATTACCCAAATCAGTAATAGAAGTTCAATTAGAATTATTCTTTTCTTGAATCTATCTCCTATTCTGTTAGTTGAATTTGTTAGAAAATATGAAATGTAATCGTTTGAAATTTGTTGAATAAAGTATCTTAATGGTGGACAAGATTATTATTATTATTATTGTAATCGTCTAAATTTCCTAAAAATAAAGTTTCCCTCTGTTTAAACACAAGCCTATCCGTAAATAGGCAGAAAGTAATCTTTATTAATTGGATTTTTGTATATACTTAATAAAAGAATTTATTAACTCCTCTCACTATGCAATAATTCTGTTTGCTTTGGTATATGGATCCCACATGTTGTGATTCATTTTAAAACTAGACGAATATTGATTAAGCGCTTGCTGATATTAGTAAACATATATTCTGGAAATCGTTGCAAAGATTTAGACTTATCTAAAAACCTACAAAAATCATCTTAGTTTCTTTAAATCTGTCACCAGATATTCACCACCTCAGAATATGGTGAAGTCCCAATGTTTTTTTCAGTCTTAAAATAACATTTAGTTATCACTAATGGGTTGCTTTTTAAAGATAGGATTGGAATTTTAACGTTTATTGATATCAACGATGAACTTAATTGTTTAAACATATCCGATTTCGTTGTTACGGAACCAATTGATCGTTTTCCAAAAGGGTATTAGTTCGAGAATATTGATGGGGAAACCTGTTCAGAGGGTAGAACAAACACAATTTCGGTGTAATTTAGAACTTTAGATTTATTATTTCAGACTCTAATTCATATTACTGTAGATATATCTCTGTTTTTTTGGTGTTGATACATATTGGCCTTGTTTTTGTATACACACATTTGGACAAATACATTTGGCTTCCGTTGAAATTCGTTTTGGTGTGAACTATTTTAGTTGTGGTTAGACTTATTATAGTATCTGCTTCTACAACTTGTCTTTGTCCACACCATTAGTCTCAAGTGGAAACTTGACAAATGAATACTTCAAAATTCGTATAACATGTAATGAACTCTCAAATTAATTTAATAACAAGTGACCACACTAATTTAAAGTATGGAAAAATTGAATCTTATCCCAGTTCCCGCCGAAAAATGAAATTTTGGATATAATCTCATTCAGTAGGAGAATGGACGCTTTTATATTGTTCAAAAACTTAAATGAAATACTTATCAATATATACTTTGATTTATTTTTAATAACAATATCCAATGTCACCCTGCAGTCAGATAGATTTGTGCCCCTAAAATATTATTTAGTTTTATCGTCAGAAATATAATAATATTAATATCATTATTGGGGAATTTGTGGCGACCTTAGGATGTTCATAGTCTGAATCAGGAACTGATCTTAGCTAGGTTACCAACGGTACAACCGAAAACTGTTTCATCCTAGCTTACGGCTCCTCACCATCGTGCATGCACGATACCACATCCAGGACTCAAACCTAGGATCTGTAGCTTCGCTTGAGATCAATTACACCTTAAAAGATTGATCCACGATACAGTGGTCTATAAGTTTAGTATTAATCTTTTCAGAAAACTAACTTATAATCTTTCACTATGATGGATAACCGTCTCAACTCCGATATGTTTGAACTATCCTGATGTCAGTTTCTCACTAGAACTCCAAAAACTATATATTGGAGCTATGGTTTAGGAGTGAGTATGCGAGAGCGAAGGTCATGGAACCGACACACTTTTGCTGGGACCTACAGTAAGCACTGTTGAGAGCTCTTATACTTTCAATGATATTTCAGATAAGATCAGTTCATAATAGAAGTTATCTATTCAATCAAATAATCAACACTTTTGCAATGATAATTAGGCAAATTTTGTTGAATATATTAACCATAAACACATATTTTAGGTGAATACAATCACATAAAATATTATACATCTCGTATAAAAATGAATTAAAAGTAAACATAAAATCCATGATAATTGAAGTTTCAACATTTTCAGTTACATGAACATCGATAGAAACGATAAAAAGCGACAAAAGGAGTGGAAAATAAAAAGAGGCGTCAAACGAATCTCCTTGTCTGATAAACTAACTATTTTATTGTTGTTAGAAGAGAAAAGTAAAGAAAAAAACCAGTCCGTTATGATGAAATCAGAAAGTCACTGTGCAAATCAATATAAAAATAAATAGGAAATATTTATCTATATGTATACATGTATAACATGTATACATAAGCCATTCATGTACAACATGGTCAAATTGTCAAGTTACATTTTACAAGTAACAGTAACAATAAACTATTTATTATTTTTAGTTATTCTCTCTATCTACTTTTCACTGTATCATTTATGTTGGATTCTTGTTAATTTCTTCAGATTTTGATATTTTCTTCTTCAAGACCATATAACATTTCTGACAAGTGAGCTGCACATAAGGAAAAGAATACTTAATGGACAAAAGCTAAGCGAAAATTGGCTGCCTTTACTTTTTTTTCAGTAAATTATTTGATTTCAATTTATGATTGTCAGAAATATCACAAAATGTTTCTTTCATACACAAAACAAAGTACTGAATTTGTCTATTGAAGTTCATCTATGTATCTATCTATCTATATATATATATATATATATATATATATATATATATATACTCTGTGTCAGTATGAAAACCCTCAACATTTGATTGGTTACAGCTAGATTCTGACATTTTTAGCTAGAACATTGTGTGTCCAGAAATTTAACTAAATTCTTTATCTAAAGACCAAACAGTCTACTTAAATAATATATATTTTTTAAGTTTATGATTAGCATTGTTTCAATATGTTGGTATAATACTTTACTTTCTATTTAAAATGTTAAATTTGAAAGTGTTCAATGAATCGGTTGCACCCGGTAAAATATTGGATATTGAAATCAATTATCATACTATAAATGTTATGCATGTCAAATAAACAAATAATTTAAGTTTGGTGGTTAGAAGCAACAGACAATTAATCTTAGTCCCGTGTTTCACTTTAGTTTGAACTGATCATAAAGTTCTTGTGACTGTTACAATGAGATTGATGATTCCAATGGGATTAATCATCCGATTGTCTGTAAACAGTTAACATGAAAGTAGAATACAAAATATTGAATAACTTCGACGAGTTAAGCCGTTTCACACCAATCACTAATAAGAGTTAGAGGAAGATCGACAACACCGTGTGAATAGTTATTATGAGTCCCTGTTTTTAAGTTCAACTAACATGCGATATCACTTTGATGCTTAACACGACTGATTCAATCAGTTATAACTTTGAGATGTCCTTCTTGCAGTCTCTAATTTTTGACAGAACGGTGAGAAGACGTAATTGATCTGAAAAATGTGATGCATTTGCGCTATACATTTCGAATAGTCTGGTCACACATAAACACTTGTCAAGGCATTTTATATGAAGATCAATAAATTTAATAAAAGTTCAGATAGACATAGGGTGATAGTTGTAAATAGGAGAGAAAATCAACGTACTATAGAAAGAAAAAAAATGGTAGAGAATAATCACATTACCCTAGGCCTTGACAAGTATTTGTGTGACCAGACTATTCGAAATGTATAGCTCAAATACATGACAATTTTCAGATCAATTACGTTTATTCACTGTTCTGTCAAAATTTGTAAAAGGGACTA